CGGATGTAATGCAGCAGAGGCCCAGCAACGACCAACCTCATCACACTTTGGACATTGACCAGTCGATTATTGGGTCTGCTGAGAGAGCAGCGACGATAAGGACAGAAACAAGGCATGGAAGCTGGGGAAGAAGAAGTGGGAGCTGGGATATAGCAGCAGATGTAGCTAATTCTAAAGTCAGGGAAAGCCGAAGCTAAGGAAGGAAGGGGATGCTGACTTTATTACTTTGTTTTTAATTGTTCCAAACACTTGGGGAGTGTCTCTTTTAGAACAGAAGTCGGAAGATCTGATTTGGTTTCGGGGATTTGCCAATCAGTTCATGTAATCTTGAGTAGTAGTGTTTTTCCCTTTTCGTTTCCTCAATGTGTATTGTGCTATTTTGTTGATATTATGTGGAATTCAATTCTGTGTTTGCGTTGATAAAATCTAGCGCAACTCGATTTCTACCATAAAATGGTTATGCAATTTCCAGTTCAGCCAAAATCTAATTTATCATTTTCTCTTGCATACGGTATGCAAACTATATAATCTTAAATCTACATCTATATGATTGGTTATCAAGTCTTCATTGCAAAATGTAAACAACGTACAAAAATGTGTAAACAAAAGGAAACTTTTTTTTTCCTAAATGTAATCAAATAATTTGAGCTCCTTTGTTTAAAAATAATTTGATTATCAAATAAAAATCCAAATACAAAAAAAAAGTCAGAAAAATAATTTGAACTCCTTTGTTTTCCTAATGTATAACGTATTATGTCAAATAAAAATCCAAAGAAATCTGTTAAGCCAAATTTTATATTTTTAGATATTTTGACCTTATAAGTCTCTTCAACGCCGGCAAATATGATGGATTAGAAATTTAGGTATCTTTTCTATTATCATCAACACTTCCAGTTTTATCTATTTCTGTTTTTTGGCACAAAGAAAGACGATAATGGATTTTGTCTTTGACTAAATTCGTACAAACACGAACTATTGACATGGTTCCCCAAATTTAGCAAGTAATTTTAGTAAACGTAACGTATTTCATACCCGTTATAATAATAGTACTTTCTAAAATTATCCAACCCTAAGCAAACCCTAAGTGTACTTGTATATATATCCGCCATCAAACTAAAAAGCCAAACAACGTCATAAATCTGAATATCAACCGCAAATTTGAAAAAAAAAAAAAACTGCCGACGGTAAGAAAATGGCAACATCCTCCGTCATGTCCAGCTTCGCCGCGGCGGCAATTACGTTGCAACTACTCCTAATTCCAGCTGCAGCCTCCCCTCACATGAAATACATTGATGCCATCTGTGACCGTGCCCATGACCAAGCTTTCTGCGCTAATACATTGACTTCAAATCCCCCTACGGCTGCTCCCATTGGCCTGGTACTAGCTCATCTTCTTAAACCTAAACATGTCTCCATTAATGAGAATGATCATTAGTCATTTACTAGTTATGCTAAAGAAATGCGTTTATTATCTCTTGGAAAAAAAGCATCCATTGGCCGAGGCCGTGATCGCACTCGCGGTATCCCACGCCGAGAAGACAGCGATTTTCGTGGATGAGACGGCGAAGAAAGATCCAACGCTAAAGACATCGTTCACGGAGTGCCACAAGGCTTACTTGGCCGTGGTGGCTGCTCTCAAGAGCGCAAACTTGAAGCTCAAGCAATCTCCGGACACGGCTAATTACGACGTCAGGGCTTCGGCCGACCACATGAGGCGCGTGACGGAGTTGGTCGGGAAAAACAGTGACAAGGCCTCCACCACCCTCAAGGAAATGACTCTTCAGATGGAGAAACTCCTCGACCTTGCTGCTGGAGCCGCCGATGCCGTTGACGACGACGATGAGAACGTCCACCGTCGGGCCTGATTTTTTAAACCGGTCGGGTTTTGTTTTTGTTTCACAATACAAAATGAAAATAAGTAAATGAATATACATACATATACACATAAACTGTGTTACGAACTTACGATAAATTAGTAATTCAGTTTTTGAAAATATTTGGCAGAACTAATGTGGTCAAGTTATTTGCATATAAAGTTTTTTGTGTCTATGCGATCTCTTACAATATGCAATATGGATGTTGATTTCTATTTTCTAGAACAAAAACGACTCTAGGTTTTTGAAAAGAAAATTGATACGCGACGAGATTTGCATGCTCTGTTTCATTTGAAAAGCCAAGAGCAACAAAGATTAACAAGATTTAAAAGAGGATCCAATAACAATAACGAACTTTCAAACATATTGACTTTTGAACCTTTTATCAAAAACATACAGTGTTGCCTTTTGGCAAAAAAAAAACACAAGAAAAAATGGTCTTTAAATTTACCACAAGGGAAAGGCATAGATGGAAGCCCAAAGATGGAAACAAAGTCATGTTGTGTTTAGTTCCTCTTCTGTAGGGATGGTGACTGAGTGATTCAAGCTTTAAACATATTAAAGTCATTAGTCATATAATTTGCATATTTATGTTTTGTTTATTTGAGTTCTTATTCACTTATTAAGTTCTTAAAGAAACTTATATATACGACATGTCAGTTTGTTACGTACAATAAGAGAGGGGTGCTTTTTTCTGGCTAATCAATATTCACTAATTTCAAAAAAAAAAAATTAAATCACAGAAAATACAAAAACAAATTATTAAACAAACACTACATTTTACTATTAAAAACATCATTACATTTTAAAGTTTTACTATTAAAAACATCACTACAAATTATTGGTTTCATAATTTGTTTTCGTAGTTTCTGTGATTTAAATTTTTTTGTTATTTTTTTTTTGAAATTATGAATATTGATTAGCCAGATCATATAGACCAGTTTTGGTATTACCACTATGAGTTTAAAACATGTGTGGAGTCAAGCAAAGCATTCAGGAATACTTCCAATTGCTGATACATGGTCATGCTTCAAATATGAATCAAGAAACCCAATGATGCATAGTAAGTTCATCAATTTGGTAGATATAGAGATCACAGCTGCATGGACCAAAAGATTGATGATAAGATAATGCTAAAATGCAGGTCTAGTTCAAACCATCAAACCAACATACACAGCTTATGAGTCCCATGACCACTAATTCCCCAGTGTTTAATTCAAAATGGTTGTTAAACCCATCAAGCCATACGATATCGTCCTTTTCGTATCTGAAGCACAAATACTAACAATCTCCCCAATGAAAAAACGTAATGATCAGAAAATCAACGAACTCGAGAAAAACCTAATTCCAAAACCAATTCCCTGTAAAAAAAAAACTAAAAGAAACATCGCAAACTCAAGTAAAACCCAGGTACTTTCATACCGGGGAACAGAATTCAGAGAATATCCATCTTCCAGCCCCAAATTAGAAAAGAAAAACTAAAGCTCAATCGTTTGATGGTAAAAGGCTTACATTGCTTCCTTTCCAGGCTTCGAAGACCCGTTGTGTCATGGAGAGAAGAAGAAGAATAAGCGTCAGAAATCAGAATAAGCGTCAGAAATCACATATTATTAAACTGAGAACAATAAAACCATTTAAAATGTAATGATGTTTTTAATAGTAAAAATTTACTCTCTAAAAGATTAATAAATCTCTTTTTTTTGTGTGATCAAGACGGGTTTCTTTTACAGTATTTATAAAGTATATAATTAAGTTGGGATCTTGAAAAATCTGTGCGAAAATGGTAGTTAATTTTGTACCAATGTTTTTCCTTTTAATTTATGTCTTATAAAATTAGTTAAAGTTATAGAATACATAGATCTAAAGCAATGATGTTATTAGACCAAATCTCTAAATTTATCTATGTCTGTCTATTAGTTATCATTATTTTTCTAGTCAAAATTTCTGCAAAATGATAATTCAATAAAAAAAGTGAAATAATGTACAGAATCCATAAAACTCTCTTGATAATTAATACTTATGGTATATTTAGTCATACATGTTTGTTCATTATTTAATTAAGATCCCAATTTGGTCGGGTATTATTACACCTAGTCATATTAAATAAATTATATGAAAATTTTATTTAATTATTATAAAAGTTGCACATTGAATGTGTTTTACCATTCAACATGTATAAATATATGTATGGGGCAACCAAAATGTGATATCAGCAACATTGTTGTCTATTCTTGTTACTGAATTCACAACATGAAGTCTAAAGAAAAAATCGTAGTGATCATGGGTGCCACTGGCTCTGGCAAATCAGCACTCTCGGTTGATCTGGCTTTACATTTCAAAGCCGAGATCATCAACTCTGACAAAATGCAGTTCTATGATGGCTTGAAGATAACTACTAACCAATCTACCATGGATGAACGACGTGGAGTGCCACATCACCTTCTCGGTGAGCTAGACCCGGAGGAAGGAGAAGTCACAGCAGCAAAATTCCGCAACATGGCGGCTCATGCCATCGCTGGCATTACTCACCGTAAGAAGCTCCCAATCCTTGCCGGTGGATCCAACTCCTACATTCATGCTCTCCTTGCAAAGTCGTATCATGACCAAGGAAACTACCCGTTCTCTAAAAACGGGACAATCTGCTCCGAGTTGAATTATGATTGTTGTTTCATTTGGATAGATGTGGCTCAGCCTGTGTTGTTTGAGTATCTTTCTTTACGTTTGGAAAAGATGATGAAGACAGGTATGTTCGAAGAGATCGCTGAGTTCCACCGCACCAAGAAGGCCCCTAAAGAGCCAGTGGCAGTGGGGATATGGAAGGCTATAGGGGTGCAAGAGTTTGATGACTACCTCAAAACGTACAAATGGGACAATGACAAGGAGAATTGGGACCCTGTGAGACAAGAGGCTTTTAAGAAGGCGGTGAGAGCGATCAAAGAGAACACATTTCAGCTCACAAAAGATCAGATCAAGAAGATCAGGAAGTTGAGAACTGCCGGGTGGGAAATCAGGAAGGTGGATGCTACAGCAACGTTTCGGGAGGCAATTCGGGCAGCCAAAGAACGTGACCGTGGAGATGAGATGCAGAGAATGATATGGAACAGGGAAGTGGTGGAACCGTGTGTGGGGATTGTGAAGAGACATTTGGAGCAGCAGATCAATAAGAATAAGAGGATGAGATTGATGTAGGTTTTCGCTCTTCTTTTTAATATTCAAAAAAAATAAAAATATGGAGTTGTGTTCTGGTCTTAACTAGAACTCAGATCCATGTGATATATATGTTTAATTTTTTGGTCATATCAACTTTATTTTTATTTAATACTAGGGTTTAGCCCGCTCTAGTATTCAGTATTAAATAAAGAAAACTATTTTATATATTTAAGATTTAATTTTAATTAAATGCAATGTAATATCACCCTGACGCTTCAATGGTTTTGAGGTTTAGCATCTTTTTTCGTCAAATCGATATGATACTTATAAACAAAAGCTAAACAAAGGCTGAATTATGCGGAAATACGAAATTATAATTGTTGGCATGTTCATATTGTTGATGGTTACATTGTCTCTTGAAAGCTCCAGAAAGAATATAAATCACTTAATTCGAAAAATACGGTTTGAACATCGTATATTAAGCAAATTAAAGCTTTATATGTATTGCCACCAAATTATTGGTCACATGAAGTGAGTTTGTAATTTACCTTGCAACTCTATTATGTCTGAACCGGATAGAGAGGATCTAACATTACCTCACAGAGATAAACATGAATACTTGTCCTGGATGCGTTCCAAACATATCTACTTTCGGTATTTAGTCGTTTTACTTTAAAGCATTAGTGTCTTTGATTATACGTTACCAAATTTCTATCTGCAAATATGAAAGCATTTGAGGCATGATTTGCTTCTTTAGGTTTATTTTTCTAACTTGGAGACTTTATCATTCATCTCCCACTGCTCTTTTCCATGGAAACAAACTACGTGAAGAAGAGAAATAATACATGAATGGGATAACTTACAAGTCTATATTATAGGAATAATAACGAGCTTTTTTTGATCTAGCAAATAGTACTGTTGCTTTTTTTATACCACTTTCTAACCACTATCCCTTACTACTCTACTGCACATTGTGACGTAACATATCATTTATGTGTAAAGAATTAAGGTAAATGGAAGCACAAACTGGTAGGATGAATGCTCAGCTCTCACAATTCAAGCGTCTATCATCACTACACACTCGAATGTGGCTGTTTTTCGTGCGTTTAGCTGATACCCTGACCAGCCGGTCTTTGATTGAAAACCAATAACGACTCTACAACAGTGAAGATAACCATGGAAACCTAAAAATATATATATAAAGGTTGGTTAAAAGGATAAAATATTTATTGGATAGCTTTTCTGTATTCAGCAATATGTATATGTAGTAAGATAAGTTGAATCTTATTAGTGGAGATTTATTTAAAAACGTTTACAGGAGGATCATCAACGAATTTTGTGTACATGGTTTTTCATTTCAGCTATAACTTTATTAAGTTTTCATATTTCTCCCTAAAACAGAAACAACTTTATACTGCTTGCTATGAGAAGTGTAACTCTTAGACCTATGGTTCTGAGATTTTCAAACTTGAGACTGTATTTTAAACTTGTATAACTGCATTCAATACAAAAATGGAAGTGTGGAAAATTACCCGACTTAGCATGGTGATGTTGGCTCCTATTCAATTCTCGTAAAGTTGCGCTAGAATCTGTAGCTGTCTCATGGGTATAGTGATGATAATTAATCCTTTACATTTTTACATGTATTCACTTGAACTTTGTCTTTATTCGACTCATACTTACAATATATTCTCTTTGCCCTTTATAGGACAATTTACAGAAGATAGAAGTGAAACATTGTTATAAATCCTATCCAAAGTGAAACATTGTTATAAATCCTATCCAAAGTGAAACATACTGAGTCAATCATATCAAATCTTCGCTTGCCTTGCCATAACTTTGAGTAACAATTACGTTGGAATTACAAAGCAATAGAAGAATTAAATATCTCTCTTGAAAGAAGAGCAACATTGATGCAAAGAAGAAAAAAATCTCCAACACACTTTGCTTTGCTTTTGAGGTAATTATGGAGCAAAATTTGAGAAGAATCTCCAACACACTTTGACTTGTCCAATATGCACTCAGTGAATTTTTTGTACTGAAAAATAATGTATGGTATCTATCATGTAAACCTCCACAATGATTAATTATCTTTCCGAAGATCCATACCTGAATCAAGAGAATTGGAAGGTTCATATTTCACAAATATCTTCTCAGAATTTTCTTCTCACTGTCAACGAAACTTTAACTCATTCATTCTTCACTGACATAGCATCATCCGGTCCTGATTGAATCTATCAACTTCATGGACAATATAATTAAAATAATTTGTGATTCATCTAATGAAATATTAATCATTAGATAAAAGTATAAATAATATGTAATAGTTGATGTTTTACCTTTTCTTGGGTTGTGTTGTGGTCCATTCTTCGTCGTAAATTTTGGAGTTGTTCATCCTCTCTTAGTTGCTCTTGTCGTAAATTTTGGAGTTGTTCATCCTCTCTTAATTACATGAACCCACATCAGATTTCATAATATGGAGCGAAGAAGAAAGATTAATCCAAAACCTGGAAACGAATATGTGCTGCGATTGGGAATGAGAAGTACTTACAGAGTTCTATTTTGAGAAATTGAAAGATTTAAGAGGGGAAGAGTTGTGGTTCTAGAGGGCCTTATGCAAATGCGAGAAATCACAAATCGGATAAGGAGAAAGCGAGATAACCTTAGTTTTTTTTTTTATTGGTCGGACAAACTTTAGCTAATTTAACCTAAGGTTTCATTAGCCTAAAACGTGTTATGTGGATCTTTTTGACAAAACACTGATATATTGTAGCTTAATCTGATTGGTTGATTATTTTCCTATTATTTCTGTTGATGTGTATCCCTTAAGAATCCAGGTATTTTTTATTTCTTTTCTGACTTTTTTTAAGGCCTTTCTTTAAATCCACTTCTAGAAAGAAAAAGGAAAGTACGAAATTTCCTTGTCGGCCTCGAAAATCAAATCTATATAAGAGCTTTTGTCTGAACCGCCATCTACAAAACAAAAAAAATCCCAGCCCCAAATTCATCCATAAGGAGAAAAGCAACAGCCGCCGAATTCAGGAGATCGATCAGTCACTCAAATCAAACGAAAGAAGATGTACAATCACGCCGATAAAAGACCACGGCACACGAAAAAACAGAGGAAAGAGGAGGAAGCTTCTGTGTCTCTGTCATCGTTGCCACTTGACGTTGCTCTGAGCTGCCTCTCATGTCTCTCAAGACTCGAATGCACCGCCTTATCTCTGGTCTCCAAGACCTATCGCTCTCTCGTGGTTTCCCCTGAGCTCCGCCTCACGCGATCTCTAATGGGCTGTACAGAGGAGTTTTACTATGTCTGCTTAACCATCCCTCCTCACCCGGCTCCACGGTGGTTCGTCCTCCGCCGCGGAGGAAAAACGCTAAACGACGACGCAGCCAAGAAGTCCGTGAACCGGCGGCTGAGACGGATCCCGTCGCACCCATGTCAGCCTCCGGAATCATCTTCATTCGTGGTGCTGGATCATGGAATCTATATAATCGGTGGGATCATAAAGGGAAGTCCCACCTCGTGTGTCTTGCTTCTCGACTGTCTTTCTCACACGTGGCATCGCGTCAGGTCCATGAGAGTGGCTCGCGCTTCCCCAGCGGCAAACGTGGTAGACGGGAAGATTTACGTGTTTGGAGGCTGCGTGGAATTCTCCAACTGGGGAGAGGTTTTTGACCCAAAGACTCAAACTTGGGATACTTTGCCAATACCTGAGTTCCCGGTGAACAGATGGATGATCGAGAATAGCGTGGTGATGGAAAAGAAGATATATGCCGTGGTCGAGAAGCAACAAACCTTGTACTACTTGCCTAGTGAAGGTATATGGGGATTCGGGATTCGGGATTCGGGATTCTAAACCCGGGGATAGAAACGATTGGTGTGCCATAGGGAAATTGTTATATTGTTTTACTAGTCGCGGGAGGATACTGTGGTGTGAGCCAGATGAGTTGGATTGGAAGGAGGTGAAGGGTTTGGATGCTGTGGACTGGTCTAAATATGGTTTAGCAGCCAACAACGGGGCTCAGGACGCAAAGCTCGCGTGTAAGCTCCAAATGATCTTATATGGTTTCTGCAAACTGAGCAGCAACTCTCGTGGGAACATTGTGGTCTTCTGGAAAGTGCATTACCCTGATGATGATATTACTGAGAGGTTGGAGCTTTGGTGTGCGGAGATTTCCTTAGATAGACGCAAGGGAGGAGAGGTTTGGGGGAAGATTGAGTGGGCCGATGTTGTCTCTCAACTTGGTCCTCGCTCATTTACCGTTAAGGTTTGGTGTTCTGTTTCTGTCAATCTCTGAAACTTGTGCTTTTAAAGTTTGAGGCCTTGTTTTAACTAATGCCTTGTTTTAACTAATACCTTGTTTTAACTGTCATATTATTACTATGACTAATATTTAGTTATATTATCTCAGGTCTTCCGGCTTTTATAGAATCCAACCATGAAACTCGAGTTTGAGAATAATTAGTTGAGTTCTTTCAGGTGCTTCCGCCTATCTTCTGTTATGTATCCATGGTTCCGAGTATTGATTTAGACACCATGTTTCTCCTTGGTTAAGTTACGCCATTTTTATGTATCTATGAGATCAAAGCATCATGAAAGGTTCCTGAAACTGGTAAAATTAATCAAGTGGTTCCAAAAGATAGAGGATAAGCCTCTTGTCTCCTTCTCTAGATGTTAGTCTGTCACTCTGCATTGTTTAGTGTTGTCAGTCCAGCTTGTTAGGTATTCTTGTTAGAAAATTCTAGATGTCCGTGCATACTTACCTAGTAAATGTTAGACTTTCAATTTGTTTCATTCACCCTTTTGAATTGATCCTGTCAAGTTTCTCTCTATGTTAATATTTGCAACGCTTGGCAACCGTAGGAATGTGATTTACCTATCATTTAGAACTTGTTGTGTGCATCGTATCTTTTTTCTTGGCTCTCTTTGTCTATTCCACATTTTCATGTACATTATTCTGTCAATTCTTTTGTATCACTATTGATTATTTGGTGCTTTTTCCGAATAACTTGGATGAACTTTTCGTGCTCATACATTTCCTTTCTTAATATCGTTAAACCATTTTGCACAGGCTTGGAATCCGGAAAGAAAATCTTCCTAAAGATGAGTACGAGTTGGCACTCAAAATTGCTAACGCACAATCGGAGGAGATAAAAGAGTGACGCCACAGAAGCAATGGACACTCAAAAAACGAAGTGAAGCTTTTCTTCTTTTCTTTTTGTCATCAACCTTTTATCTGCATTTGCAATGTTATTCAAAGATGAAAACTTATGTATTCTCTCTAAAGATTTGTCTGTTTTTTCAAGGAAGAACTCAAGCCCTAAGTTAAGCACTGAGGTAAAGTCTTTAGACATCTGTAACTTCATATAGAGGTAAATCCATATCGAAGTCTTTGTTCTTAACCGTTGTTTGAACTCAGACAATAAGGTCAGCGTTACAAAAATCTTTAAGATGTTGCTCGACGCTAGACGATCGGCGACTGCTGAAGCAGAGAGTGCTGAAGCAGAGAGTGCGATCATGTTTGAAATTCATCATTTACTTAATCCTGAACAGGAGGTAATGGAAACTGAAGTGAAGAAGATGATGATTGGTCAAGTGAAGATAAGTCAGAAAGAAAGATTAACAAGGCCTTGGGCCATTAAGTAGAATTAGGCACAACTATAACACATAATTGGTTTTGTTGGTTAATATTAAAAGAACATGATGAAGACAAATTAAAGGTGCAGTACATAGCACAAAAGGGATAAAATAACATATTGCTTTAGAGAGCAATTTTCTTTTGATCTGTATATGTGATGAGATTATGTATGAAAGTGAAGATGTCTTCTTAAAAATGTATCCCATCTTTAATTTTTCTTTTAAAACCCCAGAGAAAACACACAGGAAAGATGTCAATCTTTCTGTACTTAGTTTTTGGTTTTGTTTTGTTTTGTTTTTACTTTGAGAAATGAGTTGCATGAAAAAACTAACAAATCACATATGAAGTGGGGAAAAGAACGAAAGGAAATTCTGAATTCTATACCTTTGATTACGTTTAATGAATCCACACGCGTCAAGTGGGAGCTAGAATTGTAGATAGCTATACAGATGAAATACAGAAGATATATTTTTAACGGCATAAATATGTATACGATTAAGATTAAGAAGCGAGGGGAACGTTAAGTAGAACAGGACAAGTTCAGCTTTAGGCAGAGACATCGGAGAAAGTAAGCTCATGAATTCTCTTATGTATGTGAGACATCCTCCTCATGGATGATGTCATGTCATACATACATTATACAACCATCATAGCATTGTTCTATGCCATCATTAACTAACTTATATAGCACGTAACGTCGTAATCCCTGAACCTTTGAGATACCTTAATCTTCATCAAAATCCTAATTCTCGAAACATCTTTCTATTACCTCCGAATGTCAGATAGTAATGTCGATCGGTTAAGTCTCTGGCAATAACTTTTTATAAATTCTGGATACGATGATTAACTAATTCGTAATAAATTCTGGAACTCATTTTTTTTTTTTTATAGACTTCCAACAATGGCTATGTTTGCCTCATGGGGTATGTTGATTCCAAAAACTAGTGGCTTGTGCTCGCATGATGAGACTAGAGATCCTTCTGTTGTGGTGTGAGTTTAGCTTTGTTATATGGACCACGGCTCATATCAGACTTGAACTAATGCCAACCATAATTCAGTCATGGCAATCACTCACGGCATGATCCTCAGAAGACTTGTGAGTCAAGCGATTGTACTCAACATATGGAGACAACGGAATAACCAAATTCACAAAATACATCCGACAGTTCAGGAGCCTAATGCCTCTCCAGCTAAATTGAAGGAATCCACTCTTTCCACAATTTTTTGTTTGTTTTATATCAAGGTAACAATAATATAGGTCTAACTTTTGTAAAACCTCAACTTTTTCCATTAATAATATTTACATTCGTAGCAACAAAAAAAAAAAAGAAGCATGCGGCTAAATCAAATTGCTAGCTTGTGTATAGAAAAATAAATCAAATTTGTTATTTTCAATTATTTATAAACTATATGATTTAGTTAGTAATGAAACTATCATCCGATACATTAAATTGTGAATATCTGGAAGATTAATTATTCGCTAAATACGTGACAATAGTATTTGACCATAGTAAATTTGTGGATTGTGCCCCATCTAGTTTTTATTTCTCTTAAATTATTGGAAAAAATTAATTAAATATCGCAAATGTTATTGAGAGAGAGACCTCTAAGAGTAATTTGATATGTTTACATCAAACCGTTACAGCAATTAAATTGATGGTCTATTAATGGGGCTGCGTCGTAATGTGAAAGAGACAAAAAGAGTTAGAGGTTTCGAAGCGAATGCCCAATACTTAAGTGAACATAAAAGGAATAAGAGAGAAGACGAGTTAATGTGATAAGCGGTGGGTTTGGTAAGATAGCGAGAAGAAGGTGACAAATGTAAATTCAAGACTTTCTCGTCATCTTCTGCATCAAGATGGATTCTATCACCTCCATCCAAAAATCATTGGTTAATTTCAAGCGTATTCAATTCCGGATTTGTTTCGAACTATATAACTGAATTATGTATCCAAATTATTATAATTTATTTAATTCTAATTGTAGTTTCAGTTTCAAAGAATTTACTAAAATTTAATTTCTTTTAAATATTAAGTCCCATAAAAAAATATTTGAAAGGTGTTAGTAACACGAATATGTGAAACCCCGTATACCAAAAAACAAAAAAAACTTTAGATTAAAGCTTCCCGGACTCGTGATAGACGGCTAAGAGCAATTTCATCTTTCGTGTCAAGTTTTAGTTAAACACCTTCCTTATACTCACATAATTAGATATATTATCTCTAATATAACTAAAACTTTTCAGATTTTATGATCCATAAGCTTTGATCTATAAAATTATGAAAAAATCAATTAAACTCCATATATCATCTAATTGACATGAGAATATAATAACGCTAATAGGATGAACTAGAAACGCTTGCCAGAACTAGAAATAATCTAGAAACGCTTTCCAGAATTAGAAATGAACTTTTTGTGTATATGCGCGAATATTATCTTCTACCATGAGATATATAAATGAAATACATTTGCTATAAATTAAAAGAGCTATAACTATATTAAACGAAAAGGCAAATTTGATTATTACTTGGTCTGTGTTACAAAGACATTTTGAGCCTAAGACAGTGTGAAAATTCTTGGTCGACAACTCTAGCAACTTTAGCCTAGAAACAACATACTTCAAATTTGGATCATTTGGTCCGATCCATTCAATTGCATACATATAAGTAAACTTATCAAATCTGAACCATTTAACCAAAGTTAAAGATAGCTTATTAATCACAGTACTGTCTCCCCAAAGTACTAAATTAACTTATTAACTAAAATAAGAAATAATGTCCAGAAGTACAACTAGTTACAAAAGAGTCATACAAAAAAAAAACAAAAGCAATGATCATCTCTTCTGCTTAAATCATATGTCGGGGGGAAAATTAGGGTTTCTTACCAAGAGAGTTCTTGTTGTTATGCATCCAGATTTTAAGCACTTGTCTCCTAACACCAGTCTCCGCACAGAACTGCTCAACCGCCACGTCATCGTGTTTCTGAATCCGCCACCCCAACCTCTCCGCAAAGATCAGCATCTTCTCTTTCTGCTCCGCCGTGAATTTCGTTCTAAACCTCTTAGCCGTTGTTCCGCCGCTGCTGCTCGGATTAGACGTATCCTCCTGATCCGCCGATGCAGCCGGTGGCCTGTAAGGCTGCCCTGCCGTTGCCGGAGATGTTAGATGAAGGTATCCTGGCGGCGGTGGAAGCTGAGGCGGACGGTTGTAGTAAGTTGGAACTCTGTGAGCTCTGCCGCCGATGATCTCGGTTTCCTTGCGGTGGAAGTTGCGGTGGCAGCCACAAGCTGCACACTTGAGAGCGTCGAGTGAACCATCTTCACCTGAAGGCATGAACTCGCAGCAACCGTCCACGGCGTGGCCACCGATGTTAACGGCGTGATTCTTCAAGCACTCTCTATACCTTATCTTTCCTCCTCCAACGGTTTTTCTCCTTCCGCCACCACCACCACCACCACCGCTCGAGGTGGCTCCTTCACCGCTCAGAGATTCGTAACCGCCGGGAGGGTTTACACCCGACATCTCCCTTTCTTCTTCTTGATCCTCAAAATTCATTTTTTCTTCTTCTCTCTCTCTCTCTTTCTTTGTTTCTTAATTCTTTAACATCACAAGAGACATCCGTACAGTTGAATTGTAACTTAAAAACTATTCTGGAGACCAATAATTCATGAGGGTTAAGAGTACAAAAAAATGAAAATAAAATAAAAGATATATATATATATATGTATATTTAGTTTAATCTGAAGGAAAAGATGAAACAGTGAAGATAAGAGAGAGAGATGATGAGAGTGTGGTCAACAATTCCCAAGCCAACCGCTTAGTAAAAGGGGGGCCTCATTTTTCTTTAGCATATTTCTCATATAGTATTATAGTTTTATCACACCCAAAAAAAAGACCCACAATGTTTCTAGGGTTAAATGAAAAGTATAGTTTATACTTTATACGATAAATAAACAAAAGATTCCATTAATTATTGTAAGATGTAATTAACTGGTGGGTTTGATATTGATAAGTGATTAGAAGGGCGCTTAGGGTTGTGTGCAAGGTAGGTCTGATACTGAGGACTTTACTGCCAAAAACAGGATCAAAGTGAATCTGTGGTGAAAGTAGCAAAAGTGTCCTTGGGAGCTTACTGATCACAGCAAAATGGCAAGAGCATGGGACGTAGAGATCACGTGTCGTGAATATAAATCCGACGTTAATTTTCCCACTTTTCATAGTGTTCTTTATATTAAAGAAAGCCTTAAATCAGGAATCAACTCATCGAAATTTATATAATATATATATATATATATATAATATTTTTGACAGGAAAAATTTTAAGTCGAAAGCAAAATTAATTATTCAACCATATGAAGTTATGAACGATCTTTACAGAATTCGTTTTGGTATTATTTATTTAGTTAAATTACCTTATGTTTCGAGTTTCTACGTACTTACAAACCAAATTTTGCATTATGGTTTATTGTGCAGCCCTTTTTGAGTTCAAAATTTAGTACTAAAACCTAGCGATAATTTATCCCCGAATTCATCTAGCAGTTAATTTTTCAAGAGGGTTGGAAGAGTATTATCCAATGATCATAAATTTGCATGTTATATGCCCATGTGTGTACATAGTATTCGTCGGGTATTTTTTAAGTCTTAAGCTAATGATCTAATAACATGTGCACTTTATAGTTTTGGATAGCTCATATATATATATTCTTATGTTTATATATATATATACAGAGGTTATATGTACTTTTCTTAATGTATACAAAGTTGTTCAAAATTCAAAATTGTTCAATGAAGTTTGTAAATTTGTTTCTTGGACCAAAATTTCCACAAAAAAAAACATTACTCCATTGCTATCAATGTTCAAATTATTCTTCAATGGTATATGAAAAGAGGGTTTGTTGAGTTTTCTTTATGTTATAAAATATATATATATATATATTACAAGAATGTTATTATAAGGTATCAAAATAATAATTACAATTCTCTTCTCCCTCATCACAACAAAGACTCATGATTTGTGAAGAAGGAAAGAGACAAGAACTGTTATTATGTAGACGATCAAGTTGATAGAGAAGGGAGGATCTGATTGTGGAAAAAGACAAATTACGAACGGCCGTTTTGACGATGGAATAGTTTCCACAAAAAGATGTGATGTGGCGTAGTCAGGAGAAAGTTGATGATGAATTTTGCAGAAACATCACGTGAACCTTTGTGTGGTTGTGTCTCCCCTCCCTCTCTTCTCCAAGTCCTCATCCATATATTTTGTATTCTAGGCATATAACTTATATATATACTATATAAAATTTAATTCTTCTTTCTAGAAGTTTTTATATTTTATTTTTGTTAGGTGACGCTCTTCTTTCATTTGTTACGTACTCTTTTTTCCATGGGTATGAATGGGTGATAAAAGCGCGACAAGGCAATTCTATTTTGGGTATTTTACGGGTTATTTTGTTTTATATTCATAAAAGAATGTGTGTGATGGGTAAATTTCATTTTCACATTTATTATTTTTATGAATGAAGACCATTTCAAAGCAAGATAATTATTAATTCTACATAGAAAATTTAAGATACATGACCAAGAATTTTTCATTTGTTCTAGCTAGGCTCAGTTTTTTTTACAGAAAATGCTATAGACTAAGATGATTCCGAAGCAGCATTGATATTGATATGATTATGAGTTGTTAGCTGAGGTTGGAGTTGAAAACCGAAGAAAGCTATGAAATGTCAGATCTGATCCTTTGAGCAAGCCTTCCAAGGTGTATAATTAATTGTCACTCATTTGCAATTTAACCAACGTACACATGAACGATGAGAAGGCTCTTGCTACTTATTTGGAGGTGTTTTATTGCCTGGTTTTTCAACCAAATTTATAACTATATAATTTGTAATGGATCCATTAATTGTCCATCATAACTACAATATATATATATATATATATATATATTTTTTTTTTTTTCCTTTGGTTAAATTGAATAACATTCAGTAAAACATAATTAAGGCACATAATTTCATTGAGCATCACTCAATCAGAATAGATTGTATCACCGCTAACTTAAACGCAGCTGGAACAATATTTGAGTTAAAAAAAAAAAAAAAAAAACTGTCATCTTGATCAAGAATACTACATACACCGTGCAAGAGTAGGTAGAAGCATTTTCATGATGATTTTTCTTTAATGATTGAAATCATTTTATTCAAACGATGAGCAAGAAACTTGATGATATGTGTTCGATCAACAATAATCTGAGCACAGTTGTAGGTATTGCAATGAGGTTTGGCCGCACCTTTTCTATGGAATATTAAAATGGGAATTAAATAGTAATCTTTTTCTTCTTATTTTTCAATTTATTACCTGCCGATAATTTTTCTTTCAATTTTGTACTACATTGAAATAGAATTTGTGATGGTGAATTAAAAAATAAAAAAGGAACCGGAACATGCTACTATTCAAAACTTAAATATTCCACTACGTTGTTGGATGATTGCAGTTGGGTGAACAATGATAATGAATATATGCACGTTCATTTATCCGAGATGGTTCGACGGATTGAAATCTCGATACTCGCATTCCATTAATATGGAACAGTTGTTACAATGTTATACTTATGATATAAATCATCATCACATGTGCATATACTTACAAAGTTGAATTGAATGAAGATGAAATCCTGTGAAGGAAAATCTTAAAGTTAGAATCTCTATCTAACATGCTTATTCTCACATAACTCTGATCATCTCCAAAATATTTTCCACTTTTCGTTAGAATCTTCTGCTTCTCTCTCAGGAACTTCTCGCAATCTACAATCCCTTTTCCACACTTTAACCATGCAAAAGCTGCACAAAATATACAAAAACAACATAAAATAAATTCAAAAGATAGCTAGTTTTATATATAATCATTTACTTCGTTCTTCTTTAAACGTACCTGGTTGTGACTCGAAGACCTTGCCTAGGAAATTGCAACGTTGAGAGGCGAAATCAGGAACAGTGAAATGTTGACTATTTTTGGCTGCTTGTCTCAGTAGCTCCCACCGTTTAGACAAGGCATCATAACTGTGCTCAAAGAAGGATTTAGCCGTTTCATTACCACTTTTTTCGCAACTGTCTGACACAACCTTCAAAACCTTGGATGCTTTAAGCTGCGAGTCCTTTGAAACCCCAATCGTATTGAGTTCTATGTACTCTGTCATTTTCTTCGCCGTCTCTCTGTCTTTCACCAAAGCCCATCTGCAAAAAATGTAACCTACGTTCAAGAGACGCTTTCTTTTTGTTTATTCCCCAAACATATAAGCAAAAATGTAACAAGAATATACCCAATGCGCATCCCTGCATGGCCAGTGCTCTTTGAAGCAGTGAAGAGCATTACATCATGATCAGCTATCGATGTTATCGGCGTATACTGTGGCCAGTAGTACGCCAAATCATGGATCAGTATACCTTTACTACGGTTCACCACCGGTTTTCTCAAGAACCCATCAGGATTGTTTGGAGATGTAACAAGCTCAATGTATGGACCTTCTTCCTTGTATGTCTTTGCATCTCCTCCCCATCGATATAAACCGGATTTGATACAGTCTGTAATTAACGGGTATGACTGCAAACCAAACCGGTTAGACACGTTAGGTTGATATAAATCCTAAAGGAAATCAAGAAAGCTAGTATTAAGCAGGACATGTGCGTCTAACAGGTCTTATTTATATATAGTTATGTTTTTTAAAGAGATTTATTACTATAATTATAAAGAACGTATACACAAGTGTACAAATAGTTTGAGACGTTATATCAAAATGACTCACGCTATAAAAGGGTGCAGCTGAGACAACATTAATGGGACCGGAGTCATCACGTGGAGATAGAGCATAGAGAGCAGCCTGATACAACTGTGTTGAGCCAGTGCCAACAACAATGAAGCGGTCTTGCGTTACAGCGTTCCCAACAACGTTATGCACTCTCACAATCTCTTTGCCAAGCTCTGGTTCAAGAAACCAACAAAGGTTGTTGTTGTTATCTGAAAAATAGCTTAGAGATTGCCATCCAGGTATCACCATTGTCGCCATCTCCCCCATTTCTTGCCAGTATCTCTCATACACTGTTGGATCGCCACTGCGTATATCCACATGATGTATCAAGGTTAGCTTACATTATATAGGTAAGACATCACTAAGTTAATGAGAGGTGGATGTAGATGTAATTAAGAATTGGTGGGTCCTGTTTTTAAATGGAGAAACATAAGACATCACGATTCCTATTTACTGAAACAGCAAAGAACATGGTCAAGCAGATCACCAAAGTAGTCCTTTAGATTCTCTCAAAAGACAAAGAAATAATTATATATGCATGTCTGCAGAATCATGTCCACCAAAATGTGGGGCCTCTTTGCATTTTCTCTTTTTCCTATTCTTTCCATTGAAAAATATGGAATGAAGCAAAAGTGTTTGAGTTTTGACTAAATCTTAATTTTCTATTTTAATATCAACCCATTGGTTATCAGTGACTAACTAATTAAATTAACTGCAAGCTTCCAAAAAGGAACATCACTATACCAAAACCATATACCAACAAATCCTCCTTCCTTTCACAACATTCCACATACCAAATCCATATACAATAAAAAAAATCACTCTCTTCTTTACTTTCATTAACAGGAAGAGTGGTCCATTTACAAATTACATTTATGACCAATATATATATATATATATATATATATATATAATTTCCTAAGTAATAAATCAAATGGACCACCAAGATCAATACATGCAAAGATTTTTTAATTGGTTTTGTTATATACCCTTCAGGATTGGTTTGACGAGCCATAAGTAAATAACAGAACCAAATATTCAAACTAGCGGCGTACGTTAAGGAACACAAGGATACACAGAACTAAGACAGAACTTACAGGAAGTTGCAATATATTTTTGTTAGAAATATAGGCGAGTCAATGAAGACGATCATCACACCCTTTATATTGGCCATTTTGCCCCCATTTTTGGTGTTTGCATTTAAATTTGATTGGTGATTATGGCATCAAAGCTTGGAGACTTGCGTGCTTAAAACTTAATAGGATAATCTTAGATTCCTTGCTATAACCAGTTACTTCCAAAGCAATTAATTAAGTATGGGATAAGGAAGAAATTTGTTTATAGATTCTAGATGATACGCCATTAATGCACATTTATTAATCTGACAACACCAAGAAAGAATAAACAAAATTCTACCATAGTGACAACTGACAACTGATAAGGCAATATTAACAAGCTTCTTTTCAAAATTTGCAATCAAGAAGAACATCGAGAAGAGAAGTAAAGAAATATGAAAAAGTAGAAGAAACTTACAGTTTGAGATTGATAATTCTGTCGTCGTCTTTTTCTTCTTCCATCTCGTTATAGTTGCAAGATGCTGAAGATCCGGAGGCCACAGGCCACATGCTAAAATACGCCGTTCTGTACAATGAATATTCATCGTCGCCCTTCAAAATTCTTAGAATCAAGCTGAAGTTTATAGCCAATGAGAGGACCAACATGTTCCTCCAAGACAGAACCCTCGGAATCTGTTCCATTTTCTCTACAAAACTATTTAACACAAAACCAGAAAGAAAGAAAACTATCCAAATTCTTAAAGAAGAAGAAGAGAACCCAGAAACAGAGTGAATTTTGTAGCTGGAAAAATACCACCTTTTTATTTTTAAATTACGGAAGGACGCAAAAAAAAAAAAAAAAAAAAAAAAGAGAGAGAGAGAGAGAAGGAAACAAGTGGGTTTTGTAGCTGTATGTCCAACGAGACTGAACCTTTTTGGCTGATAAATTTGAAGATATAAACTTGAAAGAGATTATATAATATAACCCTTGAAGAATCTCAAGAGATATATATATATAAAGTTGCAAGCTTTCTTCACAAGGTAATGGCAAAAAAAAAAAAAGCGGAAAGCTTTATATCCTTGCAGACATATTCTAAACCGAAGACTATCTGCCAAAACATAAAAGACAAACACAACGGACCTGTCAAACTGCAAAACGGAGAATCAAAAGGTCGAAGAACAAATCCGCATTTCCTCACAGAGAATGGATCGCTGGGAGGCTTTAATTATATGTAAGCTGAAAAAGAAGAAGAATGTGTAATTAGGTCGAATCTCTTTGTTCCCAGTGAGAAGAGTTGATTTTTTTCCAGCCTGTTTGCGTGAAATGAGTTTCAGCTTTTTCGGCTTGTAGACCTTGGAAACGACAGTACATGAACCGAGCGAGACACTGGATTTATCCAGGTTCTCTGTTTACTACAAGACTGGTGAATGCTTGTGTGTAATCACTTTATAGATTTACGTCACTTCTCAGTTTTTCACGTCTAATTAGGATTTTTTTTTTTTCTTTCAAGTATCAAATAAAGTAGAAAAACATCATTTCATGATTAGAGATTGTTAATGGTGTTCCATTTGAAATTTGATTTCAGTTCGATTTTATATGATTTTCATTTTACAAAATTCACCATGTTCGAAGTGCCTAGGTCCGGCCCATGAATTAGAAGGACTATAAGGCAAAAAAGTAATAATTTTGGGCTTTTAATTTTTTTAGTAAATTATAATATCAAAAATTTGGTGTTATTTTGGATTTCTTAAAAGCACTTTCCCATTGTCATTAGTCGATTGCCTCATCTCGAGCCTTTTTCAAAGCCACCTTATTTTTGAGGAAACTAAGTTTTATCATCATCCGACTCCTCTAACTTGGGTCGACAATGATACAGCTCCAGATTTGGATTTGTCGAGTCAAAACAACAGTTTTGAAAGGAGAAATATAAGCATTATCGAATAACTACCAACACCTCGAAGAGATAGAGGACCTACTACAACATAATCCACTTCTTCTTCTTTACCAAAAAAGAAAACACTTTTTATAATAAAAAATGTCATCTCTCAAATTGTAATATGAAGATATATTTTTTTAAATAATTCATAAACGTAATCTATCTATAATTTACGTATATATGTGAAAATTATAAAACGAAAAACTATAAATGACGAAATCTTTAACAAAAATTGATAAAATGACGAAACTAAAATTTTTTTCCTGAATTTTTTAGTGTATGTGAAATGAAGAAGATAAATCAAGAAAAGGATTTATTTTTTTTTTTAACGTTTAATTTGTATGATTACAATTTTGAAACATATTAATGATGCATAATTGCAAATACTCACTTAATAAATAAGATTATAGACTTTTTGTTTTGTTGAAATAACTTTAATCCTTTCTTTTGGTCAGCAGAGCTAATTCGCTTTTTTTTTTTTCCCAATCAATGGTGACATTCATTTACAAATTTGAGCAAAAAAAAGAAAACGAAAAATAAAAGCTAAGTAAACCGTGCAGCCCTGAACTTCGACGCTGTGTCGTCGTCTTTGAACCAATCCGTTGAACGTAAGCTTCACTTGTATTCGTTTTCTCTCCACAGATCCTTCGTTTTCTCCTTCCTCTTCCTTCTTCGTCTTCATCAATCACCCAGGAGAACCTCCGATCTTCCCCCTCCTGTTGGATTCTCACAATATCTAGGGTTTGCGATTGCGAGGAGCCCCTCAAAGGAGATTTCTTAATTTTCCCTTTGGTCAGTTATTTCTCTACATGGCTCCCCCTTTTTCTTCGCGTTTATCTTCCAGAGCAATCTCGTTGCATTTTGAATGCGACGAGTGACGAGTTTATAGAATCATCGACTAATAAGTCTGTGACCCTTCGTGAAGTAATTGGGTCCTTTCGTAGAGCCTGATTGACATTGGCGATACATTTGTATGTTTTGGGAACGCTTAACTTGGTTTCTAGGAATGTGGTCGAGTTTTGCCTTACGAAGTTAGGCCTTCTTTTGATATTTTTGAAGTTTCTGTAGCAATTTGACTTTCGAACAAGGCATGGATGGGTCGATTTACTTTGTTTGAAAGCTTTTTATGATGGTAATTTTTAGAAAGTTTTCGACTTTTGGAATTTATATCTCCGGATTCTCTAAGCAGATGTTAATAGACTATAAGCTCGTGTTGGGGAGCTTGTTAAGGCAGTCTTTTTCTGCAACTATATGTTTTTTCTCAGAAGTTCATAGTCCGAGTTCTTCTGTCTCTGCATTTAGCTTAGTTTGATATCTTCAGTCTACATCGAATTTGTTTGCTTTCTTGTATAAATTATACTAAAGAGAGATGCTAACGAGTAAAATCAAGTCCTGTATCATATCAATACTTCTTCATAGTCAGTCTTGTTTGATTCTTTGGGATTTGAGCTTGAAATTTCGTTTGTGAACCTAATCTTGCACGTTCCTTACAGGTTTCAAAAGGGGTAGCAGCTGCTTAATAATGACCTCTAGCACGACAGGAGATCGAAGGTTTCTTCCTTTATAGTTTATCTTTGTCAAGAACTTTTCTATGTTTTGATACTGGGTTATTTTTTTTTTCCCGTAACAGAATGGCCTTTTTTTGTTCTTTTTAATTGTTTGGCCTCTTTTAGTGATGCTTGTTGATTTCACTTTGATGTGGCCTTCTGCTTAATACTGTATGAATCATTTGTTTTCAGTCTACTGTATATTCCAATTATTGTTAAAATAGAATAACTTTATGTGCCTGGGGTATAGAACGAAACTCTGTGTTTGGCTTTCCATTCTTTGAACGAGATTGCTTGCACGTCTCGCCTCGCATCATTTCTCTTTAACAAATTAAATTTGCTGGATAAATTAGCAGATGGGGTACTACAAGAAGAAGTGGCATGACTATATTGGGAAAGGTTGCTGTTCCAAAACCGATTAACTTGCCAAGCCAAAGGTATTTGATGAGTGCATGTCATACTTAGTCGTACTAAATAATTATATTTAATCTCGTTCCCTGATAACTTGCCTTCCGTATTCAAGGTTAGAGAACCAAGGCCTTGACCCTAATGTGGAAATTGTTCCAAAGTAAGTTTTTACCTGTTTCAGATGCCATTTCTCATTCTTTTTCGTGGTCAAATTTTAGATATTTCATTTTTTCTTCTGGACATCTAAAGCAGGGGAACCCTCAGTTGGGGTAGTAAATCATCACTGAATGCGTGGGGGACATCATCATTGTCACCACGAACTGAAAGTGGCCCTGGTTCACCAAGCCACCTCAGTAATCGCCCTTCTTCGGGTGGAAGCGTCACTCGACCTTCAACTGCTGATAGTGACAAAGCGCATGATTCTTCTTCTATTGCATGGGATTCGAACTCCCGGCCTTCATCAGCATCCGGGGTGTTTCCATCTAATCAGGCATCAGTTGCACTACAGCGCCCACATAGTGCAGACACAAGACCTGGAAGTTCCCAGTTATCCCGATTTGCTGAAGCAATGTCTGAGACTTCTGCAACATGGGGTCAACATGTAAGTTTCTTCCCTTAAACTTAGTTTCTGTTATTTATCTGACTCTGCCAAGTATCAGCATTATACTTTTTGTGTATCCTTACATCTGTTGAGCTCCTTGTTACTCTCCTCTCACTTCACTTGTTATTTTGCAATAAACGCACATCTAGTTCTTTTGTTTGTGGCATCCTGAATAGAATATTAATTGCTGGATATATCATTCGTGTTTGCTCATTGCTGTGGGAACACGATTAGGATGCTGAAGTTGTCAACTTTACGGCACTCATGGTTTCTCTTAGAGAAATGGTTTGTTGTGCGAAAGATGATCTGGCAACTTAGTGGCGCATGTTCTCCATAAGCAAGTCTGGAATCATGGTTGGGCAAATGGAATTTGATGAAAGGGGTTTCATGATTATTTGATAAAACTCCATGTAGATACGCTTTTTTTAAGAATAGCTGTGTACAATTTACCCAATTTTGCATTATCAACGATGAAATTTATATTCACTCTCACCGTTTTCCACAGGGGGTTCCTCCAACAAAAAATGATGGGTTTTCTTTGACTTCTGGAGATTTTCCTTCCCTTGGTGCTGAAAAAGAAAGTTCTGAAAAGAGCACAAGGCCGCAAGGTATCATCTATTAGCAGTAAATATTATAGTGTCTCATTAAGAAAAAAAAATACACAGCATTTTCTATGTAAAGGAGGAAAAAATAAAATGTTTCAGTTTGAACATAATTCAGTTTTATATTTCGTCGTCCTTGCTTTCTAGTGTATAGCGTTAGCACAGACGTTCATTTTGCAAATTGGTACTTTGTTTTTTTTAAACAGGCATGCGACAAAGTTAGAACTTTAAACTTTCGCTGACTGGTTTTTCTTGCGTGGTATTGCTTGAACACTTTTACAATCTTAGATGGCCCCCTAATATGTGCCCCTTGAGGGGTATAGATTACCTAGATATAATATGACATGATTTTATGAAGTGGATACGTTAGACGTGACTTTTAGAAACTACAAATTTGCAGATGCTGGACCTCACGCTCGTCCTGCATCTTCGTCTGGAAGATCTATGGAGGAGCGAGGTGTGGATTGCCCAGAAGGTTCTTATTTTCAAACCTCTTTCTCTTTTGTGGGTAAACAACAGATGTTGGCATCTCGTTTCAATAGTTACTTATGTTTATAATTGGCTCTTATGAGAAGCCCATGTTACCCTCCCAGGCTTTCATGAGAATTCTCCTTCCTGTTTTATTCCCGTACATCTTTTTAGCGGATGTTCTCTGGGGAACTATACCTGACCATATCTTGTCTTTTATCTGCAGAAGCTAATGTACGGATTGGAGATGCCAATACCTGGAAAAGAGATAATCAACCATACAGTGAAGATGCACCTAGACATTATAGAGAGGAAGGGCAATTGGACTCCCGCGGTTCACAATTCCATCCCACTGCTAATTTTCCTCATCAATATGATGCTTGGCGTGGACCTCCAGTAAATAATCATCAAGGTGGTGGCTGGAACAGAGAGAATCACCCATATGGTGCCCCAATGGTTCCTGGGGGGTTTCACATGGAGCCTTATCCAAATTATCCTACACAAGTTCCACCTGGTCCCGGACATGGGGCTGGTCCTAGGGGTAATGACCATACTAATGGAAAGATGTTCAGACCTCCTATGCTCGACTCCTATGTCCACCCAAGGATGCAGACTAGGCCTGAGTTTTATCTTGGTCCAGTGCCACATGAAGGTTATTATGGTCCTCCCATGGGGTACGGCAGTCCCAGCAACAGAGACGTGCCTTTTGCAGGTAGGCCTGTTGCTCCTCATGCTTATAACAAGCACTCTGGTCAAGGTGGATATGATACTTCTGGAAATTCAGTGGCTTTGGAACAGAATAAGCCCTCACATTCTCAAGAAACACAAAGGCCATACAAGGTTCTCTTAAATCCCCAAAGTGGGAGGTTCGGGGAAGATGAAGCAACCCGGAAAGAATTTCTAGGGAACAGACTCCCGAATCCAGAGAAGGTAGCTCAACAGATGCAAACTTCAAAAAACAACAGCAGAGAAAACAGCAATGAGGCAAGTGGTGAGGTACAACCTATTAAGGCAGAAAATGCTACACCTGAAGATCCCAGTTTGATTCAGAAGATAGAGGGCTTAAATGCAAAAACTAGAACTATTGATGGGTGGCAAAATGCTTCATCTGTCATCAATAGAGATCAGCAGGAAAGCAATACACGTGCGGTCAATTCTGGGAACTCTGTAAGTAAAGTTTCAACAATATTGCCTCGAACTGGCCATGCAAGTGATGGTTACGCTGAGCTGGCAGCTATTAGTGGAACTGCCATATCATCCAGGTCAGTTATCGTTTATCAATAGCGTTTCGACCAGTTATGATATCCTTTATGTTGGGAAATTTTTGATGTTAGTATCTACAGGAGATCTAATCATCAGGCTCAAGGCAGAGCAGATTATCAGACCAAACAAAGAGTGAACAGTGAAGGCAATGATGGTTGGCGGAAGACAATTCTTATGTCAGGCTCCTCCCCTGCAACTTCAGCTGCAAACTCAGAACACTTTGCTGAGGTAAATGTAGGTGACTCTTTGGCGACCGATTACATCAGAAAGCCTGGGTCTGGAATATCTGTCGACCCAAACGACAACGAGGTATATATTAGTTCATGTGATTCTCATTGTTATTTTTACTTTTATTGCTGTCATCCTTTTTTGGTTGGACTGAGTGTTTGACATGTTCTTTTAAAGCGTGCTACGATGAGAGAATTAGCCAGGCAGCGTGCTCAACAGAGGCAGAAAGAGGAGGAAGAAAGAGCAAGAGATCAGCGGGCTAAGGCTCTTGCAAAACTAGAAGAGTTGAATAGACGTTCCCAAGTAGCTGGGGAGGGTTCAGTCAAGAACTCGGAAGCTGCATCTAATGCTTCTATCCCTGAGATACCAGAAGATCCTCGGTCTCTTTCACCTGCACTTCCGGCATCAAAACCTGATGATGTACATGTTCGTTCATCTAATGCTTCTGTCCCTGAGATGCCAGAAAATCCTCGGTGTCTTTCACCTGCACTTCCGGCATCAAAACCTGATGATGTACATGTCCGTTCATCTCTTGAGAAGAAGACCACCGTTGCAGCTGCAAAGCCGTTAGAATCTACTGGAGAATCAATAGAAACCTCAATGCAAGACCGGAAAACTTCAACAGAATTTGCAAATAATGTGGGTCCTACACAACAGGATAATCTTCCACGTGATCGTGATGGTGCTGCCGCAAAACAGAAGCGCTTGGGTTATAAGCAGAAGCAAAATATCTTATTTGAGAAAAAAATGGCTGGGAACTCTTTCTCTGCTGCTGCTACAGAGGTGTGCGATGTTGTTCCATCTCCTGAGGTATCCAGTGAAGGTGTTCTAAGTTATGACTCAGACATGCCAGCAATGTCAAGCGTTTCAACTGAATCAACTTTCACGAAAAGAAAAAATAACAGGAATGGTAAGAAAAAGCACAAGATTGAGGAGACAACAACAATAAACCCGACAAGAGTTGCCGTTGGAAAAGAAACAAAATCGGGAGATGAGTCAATTGAGACTGGTAGCGCAAGGGTAGCAGAAAAGGTGCTGGGGTCTGTTTCAGTTCCAAGGTTGGATATCAAAGTGTCTGGTAATTCGTCTGAACAAATCAGTTCCTTCACTAATGAAGAGTCTCAAAGCAAAGCGAAAAGCAACTGGAAATCTCAGCATTTGCGTAGAACTCAAAGAAACTCACTGGTAAATAAGCCTGCAGAGAAATTTCCTGGCAGCAATGCTGTTATTTGGGCTCCGATACATCCACAGCAGAAAGTTGATATCTCCACAGGAGGGAGTCAGAATACTGATCCTGAGTTTAGCACCTCTTCGAAGAGTCTGCATCAAGGGCAGACTAGTTCTAAAACCAAAAGAGTGGAGATTGAAAGATATGTAGCAAAGCCCATAGTAAAGGAAATGGCTGAGCAAACCGTCAGTAAAAAACTAATACCCGGTGCTCGAGAAATGACAGAGAATGTTTTGCAGAAAGAAAATTGTGGAGGTGAAGGTACAGGAACTCTTCAACCTTCTGGTTCAACTGCGGGGAAATCTGGGTCTCCTTCAAAGTCGAGACATGGGAATGCTAGGCAGGGCAAGCATGGTAGAGAACATGGCTCATGGCACCAGCGAGGTTCTGCAGCATCTACCAAAGCTTTGGAGGAAGGACAATTTGTAACCTCAAATCAGCCTACTCGAGGAACAGTGAATTATCACACAAGTAATCACACCGAACAAATCGCTGTAGGCTCTGCCAAGGATCAAACCACAAGTAATGATGATGGGTGGAACGATGGCTGGCATATGACTCCTGAAACGCATTACTCTGCTGCTGAAGAAATGGAAGCAAGTGTTCCTCAAGCTGGTGTTGTTGGAAAAGATCAGGGAATGAGCTTCCACGGTAAGCAGCATGCTTTCAGAAACAATAAGGGTGGAGGGAGTAACTATGGTGATCTTAAAAAAGCGAATAAGAGGGATTTCAGTAAAGCTCATATGCAGCCCAGTGGCCATGGGTTAGGTCAACCAGATCTGCCTGTTGCTTCAAAAGAAAGCCGTGGCTCTGGGGATCATGTGTCGCACTCAGCTGGTGGTCCCCCTAATATAAATAAGACAGGCAAGTATGGTGGTCGTGAAAAGACGAGGGACAAAACCTATGTATCTCATGAAAGGGGTTTTGTTGGACACGAACCTCAAGGGTTTACTTCAGAACAGAAAAAGACATCAGCTGATACACCTGCCCAGTCTCAAAACCGATCTACCACTAAGGAGGTCCAGGTGGAGCAAAATCCGAGTAGTATGTTCCAAAAGAACACAGGCCAAAGTCGACGGTTTGGAAGAGGACAGGAGTCACAAGGAGGTTGGGGTTCATCGGTGCAAGAGAATATGCACCATCACCACCATCAGAGGCCACATTCCAACAGAGATAGACAGAAGCAAAATATGCATTACGAATACAAGCCTGTTGGGTCACATACTTATGACAGAGAACACAATCGAGAACAAATGAAAGACAGTTCTCAGACTGAAAGTTTAAGATACAGGGAGAAGGGACAGGGCCACCAAAGGCATGGTGGACAAAAGTTGTACCAGCAGCAAAGGGGTATCGCTGGGAGAAACACCGGTCCTGGATTAACCGATGATAGATACTAAGATTGGCCTCTTTGTTCAGTTCTAGCTCTAACCCATGGCGGGAGGGTCCAACTATTATGTTTTGACCGATGCTAAGTGATGCAATCTTAATTAACCTGATGTCGTTTTGAGTATTTTTCCTTTATGTAGAGGAATATCTCTCATGAAATACTTATCAAAGCACACTGTATTGAATCTCTTTCTTAAATCTCTATTTTCTCTCCTCTCTCGTGTCATTTCTTCTCTCGTCTCTTTTCTCCTTCGTATCACTTCTTCTTCTTCTCTATTAACTCACTTTTTGTAGTAAAAAGGTCAAATTTGCGACATGAAAATATGACAAAAAAAAGTAAGTCATAAACGTAAACTATTTTCCGACCAAAACGACCGTAATCTATTTGACTATTTATAATAAACAGATACATATATCATATATGTGAACAATTGTAAATCGAAAAACTATGTTAAAATGACGAAACTCAAAACGTTGTTCTCAATTTGTTGGTATATCCGTATATGTGAAATGAAGAAGATATATGAAGAAAAAAATGATTTCATATTTGTTTTTAACGTTTGTATTGTATTCTGAAGCATATTAATGATGCATAGCATATATACTCACCTATAATAAAATTATAGCCTTTTTGTTGTATTACTTTAATCCTTCCTTTTTGTCAGCAGAGCTAATTCGCGCTTTTTTTTTGCTTTTTTTTTCCTTTCGCGAATCAATGGTGACATTCATTTACATATTAGAGCCAAAAATAAAAAAAAAAACGAAAAATAAAAATAAGAGCTGAGTAAACCGTGCAGCCCTGAACTTCGACGCTGTGTCGTCGTCTTTGAACCAATCCGTTGAACGTAAAGCTTCACTTGTATTCGTTTTTTCTCCACAGATCCTTCGTTTTCTCCTTCCTCTTCCTTCTTCTTCTTCATCAATCACCCAGGAGAACATCCGATCTTCCCCTTCCTGTTGGATTCTCACAATTTCTAGGGTTTGCGAGGAGCCCCTCAAAGGAGATTTCCTAATTTTTCCTTTGGTCAGTTATTTCTCTACATGGCTCCCTTTTTTCTTCGCGTTTATCTTCCAGAGCAATCTCGTTGCATTTTGATTGCGACGTCTGACGAGTTTATATAATCGTCGACTAATAAGTCTGTGACCCTTCGTGAAGTAATTACATTGGTCGATACATTTGTATGTTAGAAGGTCGCTGTTTGATTGAATACTGCCGAAATTTCTGAAATTTTGAGAACGCCTAACTTGGTTTCTAGGAATGTGGTCGAGTTTTGCCTGACGAAGTTAGGCGTTCTTTTGATATATTTTAAGTTTCTGTAGCAATTTGACTGTCGAACATGGCAATAATTTACTTTGTTTGAAAGCTTTTTATGATGGTAATTTATAGAAAGTTTAGGCAGATGGTAATAGACTACAAGCTCGTGTTGGGGAGCTTGTTTAGGCAGTCTTATTCTGCTACGATATATTTTTTCTCAGCAGTTCAGAGTCCGAGTTCTTCTGTCTCTGCATTTAGCTTAGTTTGATATCTTCAGTCTACATCGAATTTGTTTGCTTTCTTGTATTAAGTATACTAAAGAGAGATGCTAACGAGTCAAATCAATTCCTGTATCATATCAATACTTCTTCATAGTCAGTCTTGTTTGATTCTTGGGATTTGAGCTTGAAATTTCGTTTGTGAACCTAATCTTGCACGTTCCTTACAGGTTTCAAAAGGGGTAGCTGGATCCTTTAGCTGCTTAGTAATGACCTCTAGCACGACAGGAGATCGAAGGTTTCTATGTTCCTTTATAATTTCTCTTTGTCAAGAACTTTTCTATGTTTTGATACTGGGTTGTTTTTTACCCCGTAAACTGAATGGCCTTTTTTTTTGTTCTTTTTAATCGTTTGGCCTTTTTAGTGATGCTTGTATGATTTCACATTGATGTGGCCTTCTGCTTAATACTGTATGAGTCATTTGTTTTCAGTCTTCTGTATATTTCAAGTACTGTCAAAATAGAATCACTTTATGTGCCTGGGGTATAGAACGAAACTCTTTGTTTGGCTTTCCATTCTTTGAACGAGATTGCTTGCACGTCTCGCCTCGCATCATTGCTCTGTAACAAATTAAATTTGCTGGTTATATTAGCAGATGGGGTACTACAAGAAGAAGTGGCATGACTATATTGGGAAAGGTTGCTGTTCCAAAACCGATTAACTTGCCAAGCCAAAGGTATTTGATGAGTGCATGATCATACTTAGTCGTACTAAATAAATATATTTAATCTCGCTCCCTGATCACTTGCCTTCCGTATTCAAGGTTAGAGAAGCAAGGCCTTGACCCAAATGTGGAAATTGTTCCAAAGTAAGTTTTTACCTGTTTCATTGCCATTTCTCATTCTTTTTCGTCGTCAAATTTTAGATATTTCATTTTTTTTCTTCTGGACATCTATTGTAGGGGAACCCTTAGTTGGGGTAGTAAATCATCCCTGAATGCGTGGGGGACATCATCGTTGTCACCACGAACTGAAAGTGGCCCTGGTTCACCAAGCCACCTTAGTAATCGCCCTTCTTCTGGTGGAAGCGTCACTCGACCTTCAACTGCTGATAGTGACAAAGCGCATGATTCTTCTTCTATTGCATGGGAATCGAACTCCCGGCCTTCATCAGCATCCGGGGTGTTTCCATCTAACCAGGCATCAGTTGCACTACAGCGCCCACATAGTGCAGACACAAGACCTGGAAGTTCCCAGTTATCCCGATTTGCTGAAGCCGTCTCAGATACTTCTGCAACATGGAGTCAACATGTAAGTTTCTTCCCTTAAATTTAGTTTCTATTATTTATCTGACTCTGCCAAGTATCAGCATTATACTTTTTTGTGTATCCTTACATCTGTTGAGCTCCCTGTTACTCTCCTCTCACTTCACTTGTTATCTGTTGCAATAAACGCACATCAAGTTCTTTTGTTTGTGGCATCCATTCTGAATAGAATATTTATTGCTGGATATAGCATTCGTGTTTGCTCATTGCCGTGGGAACACGATTATGATGCTGAATTTGTCAAATTTAGTGCACTCATTGTTTCTCTTATAGAAATGGTTTGTGGTGCGAAAGATGATCTGGCAACTTAGTGGCGCATGTCCTCCATAAGCATGTCTGGAACCATGGTTGGGCAAATGGAATATGATGGAAAGGGTTTCATGATTATTTGATAAAACTCCATGTATATACGCCTTTTTATAGGATAGCTGTGTACAATTTACCCAAATTTGCATTATCAACGATGAAATTTATATTCCTCTTCAAAAATTCTCACCGTTTTCCACAGGGTGTTGCTCCGACAAAAAATGATGGGTTTTCTTTGACTTCTGGAGATTTTCCTTCCCTTGGTGCTGAAAAAGAAAGTTCTGAAAAGAGCACAAGGCCGCAAGGTATCATCTATTAACAGTAAATATTATTGTGTCATTAAGAAAAAAAAAAAATACACAGCATTTTCTATGTAAAGGAGGAAAATTAAAATGTTTCAGTTTGAAGATAATTCAGTCTTATACTTCGTCGTCCTTGCTTTCTAGTGTGTAACGTTAGCACAGACTTTCATTTTGCATATTGGTACTTTGTTTTTCTAAACAGGCATGCGACAAAGTTAGAACTTTAAACTTTCGCGGACTGGTTTTTATGGCTTGGTATTGCTTGAACACTTTTACGATCTTAGATGGCCCCCTAATATGTGCCCCTTGAGGGGTATAGGATTACCTCAATATAATATGATATGATTTTATGAAGTGGATACGTTAGACATGACTCTTAGTAACTACGAATTTGCAGATGCTGGACCTCACGCTCGTCCTGCATCTTCGTCTGGAAGACCTGTGGAAGTGCAAGGTGTAGATTGCCCAGAAGGTTCTAATTTTCAAACCTCTTTTTCTTGTGTGGGTAAACAACTGATGTTTCCATCTCGTTTCAATAGTTACTTATGTTTATAATTGGCTCTTATGAGAGGGCCATGTTACCCTCCCAGGCTTTCATGAAAATTCTTCTTACTGATTTATTCCCGTACATCTTTTTAGCGGATGTTCTCTGGGGAAGTATAGCTGACCATATCTTGTCTTTTATCTGCAGAACCTAATGTAAGGATTGGAGATGCCAATACCTGGAGAAGAGATAATCAACGATACAGTGAAGATGCACCTAGACATTATAGAGAAGACGGGCAATTGGACTCCCGCGGTTCACAATCCCATCCCACTGCTAATTTTCCTCATCAATATGATGCTTGGCGTGGTCCTCCAGTAAATAATCATCAAGGTGGTGGCTGGTACAGAGAGAACCACCCATATGGTGCCCCAATGGTTCCTGGGGGGTTTCACGTGGAGCCTTATCCAAATTATCCTACTCAAGTTCCACCTGGTCCCGGACATTTGGCTGGTCCTAGGGGTAATCACCATACTAATGGAAAGTTGTTCAGACCTCCAATGCTGGACTCCTATGTCCACCCAAGGATGCAGACTAGGCCTGAGTTTTATCTTGGTCCAGTGCCACATGAAGGCTATTATGGTCCTCCCATGGGTTACGGCACTCCCAGTAACAGAGACCTGCCTTTTGCAGGTAGGCCTGTTGCTCCTCATGCTTATAACAAGCACTCTGGTCAAGGTGGATATGATACTTCTGGAAACTCAGTGGCTTTGGAACATAATAAGCCCTCACATTATCAGGAAACGCAAAGGCCATACAAGGTTCTCTTAAATCCCCAAAGTGGAAGGTTCGGGGAAGATGAAGCAACCCGGAAAGAATTTCTAGGGAACAGGCTCCCGAATCCAGAGGAGGTAGCTCAACAGATGCAAACTTCCAAAAACAACAGGAGAGAAAACAGCAATGAGGCAAGTGGTGAGGTACAACCTATTAAGGCAGAAAATGCTACCCCTGAAGATCCTAGTTTGATTCAGAAGATAGAGGGCTTAAATGCAAAAACTAGAACTATTGTTGGTTGGCAAAATGCGTCATCTGTCATCAATAGAGATCAGCAGGAAAGCAATACACGTGCGGTCAATTCTGGAAACTCTGTAAGTAAAGTTTCAACCAGATTTCCTCGAACTGGCCATGCAAGTGATGGTAACGCTGAGCTGGCAGCTATTAGTGGAACTGCCTTGTCATCCAGGTAAGTTATCGTTTGTCAGTAGCGTTTCGACCAGTTATGATATGCTTTATGTTAGGAAAATTTTGATGTTAGTATCCACAGGAGATCTACTCAACAGGCTCAAGGCAGAGCAGATGATCAGACCAAACAAAGAGTGAACAGTGAAGGCAATGATGGTTGGCAGAAGACAGTGGTTATGTCAGGCTCCTCCCCTGCAACTTCAGCTGCAAACTCAGAACGCTTTGCTGAGGTAAATGTAGGGGACTCTTTGGAGACCGATTACATCAGAAAGCCTGGGTCTGGAATATCTGTCGACCCAAACGACAACGAGGTATATATTAGTTCATGTGATTCTCAATGTTATTTTTACTTTTATTGCTGTCATTCTTTTTTCGTTTGACTGAGTGTTTGACATGTTCTTTTAAAGCGTGCTATGATGAGAGAATTAGCCAGGCAGCGTGCTCAACAGAGGCAGAAAGAGGAGGAAGAAAGAGCAAGAGATCAGCGGGCTAAGGCTCTTGCAAAACTAGAAGAGTTGAATAGACGTTCCCAAGTAGCTGGGGAGGGTTTAGTCAAGAACTTGGAAGCTGCATCCAATGCTTCTGTCTCTGAGATGTCAGAAGATCCTCGGTCTCTTTCGCCTGCACTTCAGGCATCAAAACCTGATGATGTACATGTCCCTTCATCTAATGCGTCTGTCCCTCCGATGCCAGAAGATCCTCGGTCTCGTTCACCTGCACTTCCGGCATCAAAACCTAATGATGTACTTGTCCGTTCATCTCTTGAGAAGAAGACCACCGTTGCAGCTGCAAAGTCCTTAGAATGTACTGGAGAATCAAGAAAAACCTCAATGCAAGACCTGACAACTTCAACAGAATTTGCAAATAATGTGGACCCTACTCAACAGGATAATCTTCCACGTGATCGTGATGGTGCTGCCGCAAAACCGAAGCGCTTGGGTTATAAGCAGAAGCAAAATATCGTATTTGAGAAAAAAATGGCTGGGAACTCTTTCTCTGCTGCTGCTACAGAGGTGTGCGATGTTGTTCCATCTCCTGAGGTATCCAGGGAAGGTGTTCTAAGTTATGACTCAGACATGCCAGCAATGTCAAGCGTTTCAACTGATACAACTTTCACGAAAAGAAAAAATAACAGGAATGGTAAGAAAAAGCACAAGATTGAGGAGACAACAACAGTAAACCCGACCAGAGTTGCCGTTGGAAAAGAAACAAAATCGGGAGATGAGCCAGTTGAGACTGGTAGCGCAAGGGCAGCAGAAACGGAGCTGGGGTCTGTTTCAGTTCCAAGGTTGGATATCAAAGTGTCTGGTAATTCGTCTGAACAAATCAGTTCCTTCACTAATGAAGAGTCCCAAAGCAGAGCGAAAAGCAACTGGAAATCTCAGCATTTGCGTAGAACTCAAAGAAACTCACTGGTAAATAAGCCTGCAGAGAAAATTCCTGGCAGCAATGCTGTTATTTGGGCTCCGATACATCCACAGCAGAAAGTTGATATCTCCACAGGTGTAGGGAGTCAGAATACTGATCCTGAGTTTGGCACCTCTTCGAAGAGTCTGCATCAAGGGCAGACAAGCTCTAAAAGCAAAAGAGTGGAGATTGAAAGATATGTAGCAAAGCCCATAGTAAAGGAAATGGCTGAGCAAACCGTCAGTAAAAAGCTAATACCCGGTGCTCGAGAAATGACAGAGAATGTTTTGAAGAAAGAAAATTGTGGAGGTGAAGGTACAGGAACTCTTCAACCTTCTGGTTCAACTGCGGGGAAATCTGGGTCTCCTTCAAAGTCAAGACATGGGAATGGTAGGCAGGGCAAGCATGGTAGAGAACATGGCTCATGGCATCAGCGAGGTTCTGCAGCATCTACCAAAGCTTTGGAGGAAGGACAATTTCCAACCTCAAATCAGCGTACTCGACGAACAGTGAACTATCACACAAGTAATCAAACCGAACAAATTGCTGTAGGCTCTGCCAAGGATCAAACCACAAGTAATGATGATGGGTGGAACGATGGCTGGCATATGACTCCTGAAACGCATTACTCTGCTGCTGAAGAAATGGAAGCAAGTGTTCCTCAAGCTGTTGTTGTTGGAAAAGAACAGGGAATGAGCATCCACGGTAAGCAGCATGCTTTTAAAAACAATAAGGGTGGAGGAAGTAACTATGGTGATCCTAAAAAAGCGAATAAGAGGGATTTCAGTAAAGCTCATATGCAGCCCAGTGGCCATGGGTTAGGTCAACCAGATCTGCCTGTTGCTTCAAAAGAAAGCCGTGGCTCTGGGGACCATGTGTCGCACTCAGCAGGTCCCCCTAATATTAATAAGACAGGCAAGTATGGTGGTCGTGAAAAGACGAGGGACAAAACTTATGTATCTCAGAAAAGGGATTTTGTTGGATACGAAACTCAAGGGTTTACTTCAGAACAGAAAACGACATCAGCTGATATACCTGCCCAGTCTCAAAACCGATCGACCACTAAGGAGGTCCAGGTGGAGCAAAATCCGAGTAGTATGTTCCAAAAGAACACAGGCCAAAGTCGACGGTTTGGAAGAGGACAGGAGTCACAAGGAGGTTGGGGTTCATCGGTGCAAGAGAATATGCACCATCACCACCATCAGAGGCCACATTCCAACAGAGATAGACAGAAGCAAAATATGCATTACGAATACAAGCCTGTTGGGTCACATACTCATGACAAAGAACACAATCGAGAACAAATGAAAGACTGTTCTCAGACTGAAGGTTTAAGATACAGGGAGAAGGGACAGGGCCACCAAAGGCATGGTGGACAAAAGTTGTATCAACAGCAAAGGGGTACTGCTGGGAGAAACACGGGTCCTGGATTAACCGATGATTGAAACTAAGGTTGGCCTCTTTGTTCTGTTGTTCAGTCCTAGCTCTAACTCATGGCGGGAGGGTCCAACTATTATGTTTTGGCTAGAGAGAGGGGGGCGATGGAAGCTGCGACGCTGAAGCTTATTGCATTTGCTGATATGGCCATTTGAGGCGACTATTTCGTAGGCATATAGCTTGGGTGATGTTTGCAAATGAGTAGATAACAAAGTCTTCGCTTTGCTTGAGGGTTTTATGTATGTCAGTACCTTATTTGAATATGCATCTCAATTTTAGCTTTTTGTGAGGGCATGTCTATGTTATGGATTGAGAAACATTGGTCTAGGAGCCTAATTTTAATAAGATACTCTTAAAAAATTATTTTTTACATAAAATATTATATTATAATTTGAAGCTCTCATTTATATTGTTGAAGTTTAAAATAGAGATTTTTCATACCTAGTTGATCATTCAAGAGTACACTATCTCTTTTTGAATGATGAAAAATTATTAAATATGACAACACCTAGTTGATCAAACATCACAATATCTAGTTGGGCAAGTCTATGAAATAACAGACAAACATTTAATTGGCCGACTAACCAAAAAAACTCATTAACTGTTTCTGATAGATGATTTGTTTTGGTTGGGCTTACTTAGCGTTGTTGGTTTGGTTGTCTTTCTGGATAAGCCGATAACCAGAAAAGTCAATATCTTGCTGAGTAAGTCAAAAATCTTAATCAAATGTGTAATTAAAATAACCAGCTTATTGATAATCGTCGTGCGATATATAAACGCGACCGTCTATAGTTTTGGGTTGTTCACGAAATAAGCGGATTACGGGTACGCTTCTCCAAAGGATAATTTCCGATTCCCGATTCTCTCTTTTGAATACCTCCCTCTCGATACTCATCGTGACTCTTGGTATTTCGGGTTTCTTCGCTTCCCTTTCTCTCTTCTTCTGATTCCGTGTAGCTTGATCTGAGCTCTTGAGCGATGGATTCCACTACTGCACTCGTCGTCAAGGTTAGAGTTCTTTCTTGATTTGGGTAAACTGTTTTTCTCCTCAGTTTTGTTAGGTAATTGTCGGTGGTTCTGGGTTTTGGAGGCGATCGTGTCGTTGCTGTTTTTGTTTTAGGTTTATGAAATTTATTGTTGCTTATAACGGGTCCTTCCTTTTTCAATTTCACTATCGATCGACTGTATTTCTGCTGGGAATTGAAGCGTAAATCGGATTTTTTTTTCTGACATATAAAAATTAGGAAAAACAAGTTATCGTATCCAGAACCATCGGTTGGTTTTCAAATTAGTATTAAGGTGCTTGATCAGGATCGCTATGCTTGTTCGAACTTGTTTTGTTCTTCCAGTTTGTTTCGTTGACCAAGTTTTTTCTAACTACTTGATCAATATGCCACATCTTATCTTTGGGGCAAACTTACTTCGGCAAAATTTGTTTTTCCAAAACAATTCAGTGTTTTATAGTTTGCTTGTTTCATTCAAATGATCTTTTTTTGTGTCTGTGATCATGCAGGTGAACTATGGAGGTGTGCTTAGGCGCTTCAGGGTCCCTGTTAAAGCTAATGGACAGCTTGACCTTGACATGGCTGGTCTTAGGGGGAAGATCGCTGCTCTGTTTAACCTCCCTGTCGATGCTGAATTTTCTCTGACTTACTCTGATGAAGATGGGGATGTGGTGGCCCTGGTTGATGACAATGACTTGTTTGATGTCACGAATCAGCGCCTTAAGTTCTTAAAAATTAATGTGCAGTCGACCAGTGGTATGCCCACCAACTCCATTGCTCCAGAGACTAGTGCGAGTTCAACAACAGCTGCGGGTATTCCTGATAGCCAAACCCCAGTTTCCAAAATCCAAAAGGGTATAAATGATGTTCTGATGGCTGTACCTAACCCAATGCGTGACACCCTATCGAAGGTGTATATGGACCTTGCATCTAAAGCCGCAAGTTCTAGCCCTGTAGTTGGTGAGATGCTTGATTGCATCTCCAAGCTAGGGCAGCTCTCAAGTCCTCAGGGAAGTAGTCCTTGCTCACCTGTTACTAAGCCTGGTACATCAGGCCCTTCCCTGAGCAGGGAGGTTCCTTTCGCTGGTGAACAGAAGGATTACTCTGAGAGGACCCAGACCGGAAAAAAACCTATCAATCTGAATGAACCCGCTGGCTTTGCTGATCCAAAGACTTCTGGTCATGTACCAACCTCATGTGGACTGGGTGCTAGTTTCAACGAGTGTCCCTTCAGTGGTTGTACCGTCAACGACTCCAGTCCAAATCCAAGTAACCTCAACAAGCATGCTCGTCGTTGTTCCAAAAAGAGCAGCAATGGTGATTACTGGGGCTCGCTGGGTGTCTTCCATAAGGGCATCCGTTGTGATGGATGTGGAGTTGTTCCAATAACTGGGCCTAGGTTTAAGTCGAAAGTGTAAGGAGGCGTTTTACTTGAAAGTGTAGAAACTATAGCCATCTTGGAACTTATTTTGCTTATTTGTTTATGTGGTGGCAATTTTGCAGGAAAGAAGACTATGATCTTTGCACCATCTGCTTTTCGGTGATGGGTAACGAGGGGGATTATACAAGAATGGATAAGCCTGTATCAGTTCATCATATACATCCCTTTAGAGGACAACTCACTCCAGTATTGCTCTTCTGCTATGTTTAAGATGCTTTTTTTTCTTTCGAAGCGGTTCTTTCTTAGCTATATGGTTACCTTACCCTTGCTTTGTTCATGCAGTTTTCAAATCCTTGGTTGAGCCACCCTGCGCCACGGCCACCCCTTGGAGGTGTACATTTCAGGTGTACTCGGCCTAAACTAGACAGTCGCTTTGTCCTTGATGTGAATGTACTTGATGGAACAGTTGTTGCTCCATCTGCTCCATTCACTAAGATTTGGAAAATGAGGAACAACGGTTCGTTGGTCTGGCCGCATGGTACACAGGTAGTCTGGATTGGTGGGGACAGATTCAGCAGCTCACTGTCAGTTGATCTACAGGTTAGAAACTATTTCCTTAGTTTTGCCATTCTTTTGCTCGTTTTATTTCCTTACAGATCAATTATGTTGTTTAAAGTACACTCAGTGGCTTGAGTGATAGCTTCGTCTCGTCTTTAAGTTGCAGTAGTTGTTAATATAATATATATAATTATAGTTGTTTATTGGTATCAACGTGGCAGATTCCAGCGGAGGGTGTGCCTATCAACAGTGAGCTTGACGTCAAAGTTGATTTTGTTGCACCAGGGGCGCCTGGTCGATACATTTCTTATTGGAGGATGGCTTCCTCTAATGGTGCTAAGTTTGGGCAACGTGTTTGGGTGTTGATACATGTACTTCCTAGATCTTTGCTATTTTTTTTCCTTGAATCTTTGTTTCTCTCTATCAAATGTCTTTGATAACCTTTTTGGTTGCGTGGTCAGGTTGATGCATCCTTGAAGAAATCTGTTGTGAATGAGTTCAATGGACTGAACTTGAATGCCTCCCCTGAGGAAAATTTTTCAAAAGAATTTACAGGGATCAATGTGAATCATGAGCCAGCTCAAGCTGGCAGCTCCAATGTTAATCCTGGTACAGTGAACGTTGCAGATCTAGAACGAGAAGCTGGTGAATCAAAAATCCCGGAAAAAGATGACCTGCTGGTTGGTCCTTCTATTCGTCATACGCATACTCCATCTTCATCTTCGTCATCATATGACATGATCGAGTTCCCACCTATGCCTACCGTTGAGACCGTGTGTGGTAGTTCTTCAACTACGAAGGATACCCCAGTTCCTCTTCAAGAGGATATAGAGAAGAACGACGTTGAGGTAACCATGCTGAAGGAGCTCGAAGAAATGGGTTTCAAGGAGATTGATTTGAACAAGGAGATTTTGAGGAACAACGAGTACAACTTGGAGCAGTCTGTTGATGCTCTCTGTGGAGTTAGCGAGTGGGATCCTATCCTAGAGGAGCTTCAGGAAATGGTAAGTGTGTGTGCTAATTTGTAATTCAAGATCTGATAACAGATTTTGAGGGGATGGATGTTGACAATGTGATTTTGCAGGGCTTCTGTGATGATGTGACTAACAAGAGGCTGCTGAAGAAGAACAATGGAAGCATTAAAGGTGTGGTGATGGATCTCCTCACTGGAGAGAAGGAGGCTTAATGTGTGGCTTTTGATTCTGGGAACTCTTCTCTCGTCTATCTTTAGGATATATAAATCAGGTTTTTATAAATAAATAAAACCTGTCCATGTATGCGAAACTACTGTGTGTGCTCCTTTGCTTCGTGTTGGATTGGATGGATGGATGATATTACTATCCTAAATAATAAATTAATTATATTATGTGATCATATTTTGCTCCATTTAGTTGAAGGAATGATTTAACCAGACCTTTTATTGATTTCATCGCCTGATCCATTTCGCTGCTGATATATAAATCATGTACAAAAACTTTGTTTGTTGTTTATGTATCCGTTTCCACTAGATGCTAAAATTTGTGTGGAGAGTGAACGAATAAGGGAGCAACTGAAGAAAGACACTCACATATTTCACAATTCACTTTCCTTTCTAAAATTTTACAAGTTTGAAGGAGTAATAGCATCATGAGTTTGTTTGAATCTCCTTGAAGACGAACGAGTAAACAAACTCCTAAGGCTATTTCTGCTATCTTTTTTCTTCTTCTTGATGATGCCATTTTCCGAAGACAAGGTATGTTCTTCTAACGTGAGTTCCCGTTCCAGTTTCTTAGAGACCGAAAGAATCTCGTACGGATCCCACAACGACTGTCCGAATTCCCAATCCAAAAACGACGGATGATGATGATGGCTTGTACAAGTAGTGGACATGGCCTCCATTTTGAAACGTGAAGCTCTACCTTTGACAAAAGCATGCTTTCTTCGTTGCGCCTCCAACTCCAAAACGGTGCTTTTTGAGGTTTGAGAGTGGCTAAGCCAAGCCTGTGCCGCTGCCTTCATCAACTCTACTCTCTTCTTCTTCTCTTCTTCATCCTTTTCTTCTTTAGCCTCTCGTTTTTTCCTCATCTGTTTTCTTCTTCTCCATTTGTGTGGGACTTTTTGGTGCTCCAAGCTTTTATTATATAAGGTTTATTGTCAGCCTTATGTTTCTTGTTCGAATCTACTCACCTCTCTCTCTCTCTCTCTCTTCCCTTTATTTTTTTTTTCTTTTCCTTTCTTTATTATTGTTTTCAATGCCTTGTTTTTTCCTAGCCTTTAGATTTTCAGATGACTTTTGAGCCTTGACAACAAAAATAAAATTTATCGTATTGACTTATTCGTTGTTAGCTATACTACATTATCTTTTATGTATGGGACAACTTTTTGTTTTGTTTCTCTGGAAGATTATATTTCATAGTAGAAACATAGAATTATCATAGACCCGGAAGAAAAAAAAAAAGAAGCAGAATCAATTATTATCATAACACTTTTCTGAATATAATCGTATCCATTGTTAATCTGTGTTTATGACCTCACAAAAATGGTCATTCAGGATGTTCAGACTTCTCTCTCTTAGCTGTCTCTATCATTGTACACAAGAAACTACTTGGATCATGACTGTGTGGATCTGCAAGTGCTGCGTGCGCCAAAAAAGGAAGCTTCCTCAGTGATCTCCCACTTAACCCCTACATATCAAGAAGTTGATCCAATTTCATAATCTAGTTTTTACCAAAAGTATTCTCGGTTTTCTTGTCAACAATCAGCAAAAAAGTATTCCTACTAAAGTCTGACCTCACACGATTTTGCAGCTTCTATCAATTGTTTACAGAACCAGGGAACTGTATCTGTATCAGTTGCATTCGCCTTTTCTTTCAAACTTGAAAAGCTTGGAATAGAGAGTCCTTCACAACCCTATACCACGATATTATGGAGCTTGTAAGAATTAACTGTTCCTCCTTCAGTAAATATTGAATGAGAGTCTTATATAGGGAGATTTTATGCAGTACCTCGAAATTTGATATGATCCCTTTACTTATTAATTCCTCAACACATGACCTTAATATTTCATAACGAACATGAAGAGTTGGAGGGCCAACATAAGCTTTTATGTCAGCTCTATCCACAAAAGCAACATCTGCAGCAAGAATATTGTTGTATGAAATCTCACGAAGCCTGAATGTGGAACACAGTTTCAAAGACCGAGAAATGAGAATCTAAAGCAATAAGACTAGTACCAAGACGAAGTCATATGTCTATTGTGAATTCGTTATCATACAGAAAAACAAATATATAAAATAAACCACCAGCTTACCAATAGCAGTAGTTATATTTGATGTTGTAAGGATTATCACATTCGGTGCTGATTTCAGTTTGTCCATTTGGGTAAGTAGTGCATTCACAACCTGTGACAAAAACAGGGAGATTTGGTCTTTGAGGATTAATAATTGATTCCTTCGCAATTTCTAGGTCTATATGGTATTTAGAAGCTAGTTGGACTACCCGAATAGAATCTGAAGGCTCTGAGCCAGACAATGCAGCTTTTCGTGCAGCAGCAAGACTTTCAACTTCATCTGCAGGAAGTACAATCTCAGGACTAATAGGAGAAACAAGCCTACTGTAAAAAGCTATGACAAAATCATAACCCACCGATCAAAACAAATACTAGGTTATTATCTTCCTCTACCATCTCTTGGATTTTTTGGAAAAGCTTGGCAACCTATATTGTGGAATCAGTAAACTTAGTTAGAATAACAGGATATTCCAATAGAGCTTTACTTCTAAGATATGCCTGATCACTTTACAACTGTTGGTGAAGTTTGTGGTACCACTATTAGACATGAAATAAGATTCCCAAGTCAGCGTACAATGAAATGACAGAAATATACTGGCTGTGATCAGTGAAGAAAGTAGATTATTTTGAATTAATACAGTGATCAATGAGTAGAGAGAGCAGCTGGCAGTTGTAACTGTAAGTGGTTACTTAATTGAGTTGAACCAACTACAAGGTAACCACAACTCTGGTTGAATAATCCATGAGTACAAAGCCAGCTTGTTGAACAGACCAACAGTCTTAAATGCATGCTAAAGGGAAAACTCAAATGTTAAAGAAAGAAAATTTCTGTATCATACCAACTTGCCACTTTCAGAGAACCATTTACTAAATAGAGAGTGAGCATTGACTTCAATCAGTTGGCAATGTGGATATCTGATGAAGGAAACATGTATCAAATCAAAATAAAAAGACGGACCAGCTACTAATACAGTCAAAATAGAATATTCTGACAGATAAACAGTTTCTGTCCAGAAGAGAACCTGGAGTTGCACCGAATTGAAAGCTTTTGAGCCAACGCTTTGCAAAGAGATGTTTTGCCAGTCCCTGGTGGTCCGTGCAAAAGAATAATCCTGAAAAAAAATTTAACGAATCATAAAGTCTAATATTTCAGTCTTAAATGGGGCACAAGAAAAAGCATCAGATCAAACAAAACGGCATAAAAGATATTCAGCTTGCTAAGCAACTCAATTATCTGAAGTGTTTCTAACAATCTCATGCTGTAGTGTAGAATAGATGCAGATATAGTATGTACTGAAAAACCGTACCAATATCCCTCACCTGTTCCATGAAACGAGATTTGGATTTACACCCTTCTGCGTGAAAAGCAAAGCACTCGCAGCGTAACGTAGTAACCGTTGCTTAAGTCCAGATTCATATATCAGGCTACACAACAACAAAAAGATCCAGACCACTGAATAAACAGTTTCAGAGTCATCACTTTCTTTATAACCAGGTCAAGACAGTACTTCCACACACACCTTTCCCATAAGCCATCAAACTCCTTTGCGGGCAGAATCCATTCGTTAAAGCTAGCAGGCTGTCCATCTGCGCCCAATTCCTCACACGGTCCTTCCTCAGTTAGCTGGATGTAAATTATAAAAAAGTCATGTAGAGATGGCACCTAGAGAAAACTAAGTTCACTGCCTATTAAACTTAATATCAGGTTTGCATTTACCTGAAAGGCATGGACAACTGGCTTCACTTGCCAGAACAAGAGAACATCATTATTTCTCACCCACTCCTCTAGATACAGAGGCAATAAAACATCACTTGTCAGAACAACCTCTTTATTCCATTTCTCTTATAGAAGTTTTCCAGAAAACGGATTGAAATCTAACAAAGACAAAAAAAATAATAATACCTGTATCACAAATGCATATACTCTGCACATTTTCAACAAGAAACAAGTCGTCTGCAGGTATCAGAACCAGCCCATCTACATAGCTCATGCTCCTTTGTTCCAGCATCCTAGAGCAAACAAAGAGTATCCCATTGTCAAAGAGAAATGAGAGTTGAGGCATACGAGCAAATGTATTCAAACAAACCGTTCTACAGCTCTCTGGACGTCCTCTAGCCGAGCCGTGCTTGAGGGCTTTAAGCAGACCTCCACTGGAAATTAGAAGAAGCACAAACAAACACAGATAAGGGAAGATGAAATTCATAAAATCGAAATCCAGCAGGTAAACCAAAGAGAAATGTTTGTACCAGATACGAGAAATTTGCTCTCGTGGAGGCAAGGAGGAGGACGAGGAGTGTCGGTTTCAGGGAGTGGCTCTGCGACGATAGTTTGCTCGGGGATAATCGTAGCATCAGTGCAATTTTGGTGAGAGAGCTCCATGGAAGCGTTGTTAAGAGGGTGAATCGGATCCTCGAGCATAGGGTTTTGCTCGGCAATCTCCATGGGAGTGCTCATGGCGTTTCTCGATTGGGGAAACACACCAATGCCGAGAAAAGTTGTTTTCAATTTTCAGATTTTCCCTTTCTCCGGGAATAGGCGGGATTCCAACTACAACTTTCTTTTTATTTTATTTTGGGTCATTGTGTTTTTGTTTGCATAATTTTTTGGGGAAATTTTAGTAAAGTAACAATAAAATATTAAATTTACAGAAATTAGCAGAATAAATAAGAAATAAACAGTATATATGGGAAGAATTGGCAAAAAAATGATAAAAGTAAGTCCTTATGTAATATGTAAAGAAATAGATGAAATGGTGTAGAATAGTCCACAAATGGTTAGATAAGAATAAGATAAAAGAAAATTGTCAGAATGGTCTACTTTGTTTTTTTTTTTTAAATAATCTCAAGAAAGTCCTTATGTAATATGTATTCTTTTTTTTTTTTTGGAAAAACAGCGTATTCTATTTTTTATATCTGCGAAATTCTGCAAAGTTAATAAGTTTATGAAGGTCTAGTAGAGTTTGCAAAACTCTGACTAATTTAATTGCCTATATTATTAGGTAAGAAGTAGAAAGGAGAATTTGTGTAGCGATATTGGTGTGCGTAATTTTAACATTACACCAAAATGACTCCAACTGGATAACCAAATATACATACACGAAACAGCTAGCAGAAAAAAAAAAAAAAAACCCCATCATATGGAGTAGTAAACGCTTTATTTGTTCGAGTTTAAACAATGATCTCAATTCTCAAAGTTAATGAACTCACTTCCTCTACTTTAAATCGGGTTTCTTCTTCTCTCTCTCATAAAGAAGACTAACAGAGCAACAACAGAGAAGATGCTAAAGCATATTGATGCTGCATCGAGCGAGATGTGACGACCATCAATGGCTTCAACACTAAAGAGATTAGTCGTCTTTTCCGCGTTTGAACTGTCCATAAGCTACTTCGTGACCATTTGCATCAATTCCATAGACACGTACGAAATAGGTTCCAGTAGGGATATCACGTTCAATGATCCAGTTCAGTGATTGAGAGATCTTGTCATAGGGCTTGGACACAATCTTGTAAGGACAGGTTTTGTCTTTAAAGAGTTCGTTATGGCTTTGACGCCACGGTCTATCAACTTGGCTAATAGGTGCGTAACAAAGCCTAACATCGACAGTCTTGATGGCAGCATCGACATCGATCTTGACCGACGACTTTAACTTCCATGTAACTCTTATTATATCTTTTCCACTTTCCAAAACTAAAAAGGAATATGTACAAATTGAATATAAAGATGTATAGAGCTTACCAAAGAGAAAAATTATTTTTTTTTAAAAAAAAGTGAAATTACGTTAATTTTCATATATTAGTTCTATTTTCGATTCTCTATTATTGTGTTTAATTGAACTATAATTTTATTCTCATGCAATTAACATAGAAAATCAGTTATCTAAACAAAATAGAGAGTTATATATATTGGTATTCATCCCAAACACGATAAACTCTACTACTTAAAGGGAATTTCAATCAAAACCAAAATAGTTTGGTGATGGATTTGGAAAGAATATAAAGATTATGGCTGAAAAGTAAAACGTTTTCAATTAATTATAAGAACAAAAATGGTAAATAATTTACAAACCTCCATCTCTTATGGGTTTAGCCGTGACCTCAAGTGTATTTTGAAGGTTGGTGAAGAAGAGTCTATCCTTGGTGGTTCCACTGCTCGACTCCAACGATGATAATATAAGAAGTGAGATAAAGAGGAAAGAGTGGATGGCCATCTTTAAATCTGATTTTTCTAAATATGTATTTGATGAAGACTTAAATTTGATGAAAAAAATTGAATGCATAGTTATGTATTTATATAGTGTGATCGAGGATATTTTGCTCATCGTTGAAAATAAACACTATCAAACAATTAGTGCAAGAAGTTAATAGTTCGCTTGAGTTTATATTTGACCTAAAAATACCTAAATGCAAAAGAACAAAAAGAAATATACATCATCATTTAGAAATTTTGGAAAAATGACAAATCTCAAAAATTTTGGATAAGCGGCAGATTCCAGAATTTTCTATGATAAATGACGGATTCCAAAACTGTAAGAAGGAATGATGAAGTTGCCATAATTAGATATTTTGGAATCCATCATTTGTCATAGAAAATTCTGGAATCCGCCGCTTATCCAAAATTTTTGAGATTTGTCATTTTTTTACCATTTTTGGTAAATTATTTACCATTTTTTTCTTATAATTTATTGAAAACGTTTTACTTTTTAGGGACTGACGATGTTAGGCTTTGTTACAAAAACTGTATTTGCCATAAAATGAAAATCTGTTGCATGTTCATTTGGAGTGAACAAACAAGAAAATCTAGTTTCTTCCAAGATTGTGGTGCTGTTTGTATTCTGCTTTGTATTGATATTCAGTACTTGATTTACTGTTCTAAAGGATGGCGTTGGTTTGGAGATATGGAGAAAGGAAGGGTTACGAGTCATGGAAAGGTCTCTCATGGGGAATGGTAAGAACTCTCTAAGCTGATTCAAGCAGATATTGCATAGGTTCTGTATTTTGATAGCTTATATGATTTCGATTCTGGTGATATTTTTGTTCAGGTGCCTTTGCTTGGTGGAGCTCTATGCGCATTTCTTTTACAGTGACGAATCTCTTGAGGTAAAGAAACTTCTTTATTTCCACTTAGCTAAGACATATTTTGTGTTTCAGATCATTTGGTGAACACTACTGAATGATAGGCTCTTGCTAAAAACTGTAATGTCCATGGAATTTTTTAGCACCTATAAACAAAAGGCAAAGAATTATGAGTATATGGGCCTAGTCCAGGCCTATACTAAAATTGAAACCCAATCTTTTTTTTTAAAGATATATATACACGTAAAGGACAATGAATTAATAAGACGAGTAAAAAAAGAAAAGACTATAAATACCTTCTTCCTCTTCGTCATTCGTAAATCCCTAGAAAAATATCTTTTAAGGGTTGTTTCCCCTCGAAAACTTAAGCAGTCGCTCTTCTCAGCTTTTCCATGGCCATCAAAGTAAATTGTTCTTCGTCTTCTCCTTATGGCTTTCTTCTTTAGCTGTTTTGAAGTAGTAGACTTTCTGATTAGATCTTTTGTACCTTAGGTGGAAAGAATGACTGGATTGATCGGTAGAGATTCAGACATTCCAAAAATCCGGTATATCTATTTTGTCTTTTTTTTTAGATTTGTAGGTGTAGGATGTGTTCTTGTCATGTTAATAGTATTAATATCACCTGCAGTAGCAGTATCATTAGGAGGATTTGCGTTGAGGGATATGACACTTCGCTTCCTGAGTTTGATGTCGATGCCGCTTTGAGAAAACATTTCGCTTCATGCGGAGATGTCGTCCATGTTTATATTCCCATAGAAGAGTTAGACAAGCCTCTCAACAGGTACGTAGGTTTGTGTTGTGGCTTCTTGTAAGTATTCCCAGCTGATCAAGTTAAATGCTTAATTACTCAACAAATCTTGTTACAGATTTGCCTTCGTTTACCTTCGGGGAAAAGATGCAGAAGAGAAGGCGTTGAAACTTAGTGGAAGTAAAGTGGAAGGGAAAAAAACCCTTGTTTCCAAAAACAAAGAAAAAAAGATCGTGGGAGGATGGAATCTAGTTGTGAAGGCTTACCCGTTTCATGAAAATTACCTTGATCCTGAGTTGGCTCCTATGAGAGCACAAGGCCAGAAAAACCGGCGCGCGTAAATTGAATTTTATTTATTTTATTTTACTGTGGAGATTTGTCTTTAAGTAAGATACATGTTCTTGCCTTGTTGATAATATTTTTATTAAATTATCAGCATGGGAGTTACGGTATATGACAACAGTTCGTGTCCCGTCATGGTGGAAGAAGTCAAGAGCATGCTGAAGTGTCTATTCCCTGCATCTGGAAAGATCGACGCCGATTTTGATATGCCCAAAAGCGGTGGTCCTCTGATGATGTTTGTGGCTTCTTCCTCCCAATTTGCGTTGTGAGTTTTTTTTCCAAGTTATTAAAAATGCTAACTAAAGACTTGTCTTTGTTGATTTTTTACAGCAAATGTCTCCTTCATTTGTATGGAGAAGATGCAGTAGAGAGGGCGCTGCAACTTAGTGGACTTGAAATGCGACAACGGAATGTTGTAGTTGATATCATTTGTGGGCCACCACCGCCGATGATTATTGGTTAGCTAGCTCTTGACTCGGTAGAAGAAGAACAAGCCTACGGGGGTAGAAAGCGACGAAGCTCTTTGGTGTTTTTATCTTGTCATGCAATGCAATTACTTCCTTTTTGTTTTTTCCTGGATGTTAAAAGTAAGCTCAATAATCATCATCTGCCTTTATTATCCTATGAAACTGGTAACTTAACTATCTGGTTTCTTAAAAACTCTTCAAGAAATTACGATATGGTTTAAAGCTTTGAGAAGAGAAATGTTTTTTTGGTTAATTTTCTCAGAAATGCAGAGTAGTCTTTTGGCTCTAGCGCTTACGACCAAGTTCTTTCAAGATCCTCTTGTGGGGATTCCTCCAGCAATATCTCTATGTTTCCAAAACGAAACCGTTAAAGACATTGTAGAGTCTCTTTTTGGTTTTGATGGTAATAGAGAATTGTTTTTGTTGTATTTGCAGACGGTGGTAATGTCATTGATTGGGTTCACAGTAGTTATGATCTTTGGTCTAACGAAAACGAGCAAAACAACGAAATTTAATTTTTCACTCGATCTTTTATTGATCTATCTACAAACAAATTCATGTAAAAAAAGATTTCTAAATGCAGTGATAAAGAATTTGTAATGTTCTTGAATGTCTTTGTGTGTGAAACGATCGAGAAGTGAATCTTATTAAGCTATATACAGTACATTATCTAGTATCTGCTGAACACTTTATCTAATCAACATAACAACGCTAACAGTTTCGATAACCAAGTTCTAACCATTACTAACAGATCTAAAATACAATTAACACACAACATTTTCTATATCTCAAATGTTATCTGCACTAAATTTTATGAAGTGTGACTGAAAAATATATATGTTCATCATATGAACACAGAAGATATCTTTAGCTAGAGATTTTCTTTTGAATGCATAACTAAACCCAAAGCTGATTATCTGACATAAATTCCTTTATTAAGAACTTATCCAATCAATTAGAAGTACTGTATATTACTTTTACCTTATTACCAAAGCACCGTACATGTAGCCGTATGATATTAATAGAATCATATTCATCATATAATAAAAATGGATTGGTTACTACAATATCTGCGTAGGAAAACTTAGTTCTCAAAAATCTGTGCTTTGCATCCGATCAGTACCAACAAGAGATAACTTGTTCTCAAATACATCGATATGTCCAAACGAATACGTACCTGGGGGGCACTCCAAGGCAGCTTCCAGGCACCTATGGTGAACACCATGAGAATCAACAAAGTATCCTCCTTTATGGTCGTGTCCCGACAAACAAACTTTAACACAGTCATACTTGTGTATAACGCTCATCACTTCATCAAAATTCCATAACAATGCTGCTTTAGATGCCACACCAGGGCTCATAGGCACATGCCCACACACGATAACTTTCTGGTTCGATTTCGTTGCCTCTTGAAGCACAGTGTCAAGCCATTGCAGCTGTTTCTCCCCAACACCACCGTTAAACTTCACAAACCTCCTCTCAACATCTACAAGCCCCTCAGGGCTGTTTTTATCTTCGTTTGGGTTCTTTTCTTCGAGTATTTTCAATGCAGCGATCGTCTTAGGATGGTCTTGTGGCCATCCAACAGCACTTATATCATACCCATCTAATACCACAACTCTATACTCAGGGGTTGGTGAAAAATCATAATAAGCATTGCCATCACAACCTGGGATCTTCAGTAACGGAAGCAGCTCTTCGCGTGGGAGATTGTACAAGCAGTGATTGCCAATCATGTGATACACAGGACCCTCGAATCTCTCGAATTCAGTGACCAGTTTCTTAGTTGCCGCCAAGGATTGATCCTTGGGACAATATCCATCAACAATGTCCCCCATGTTGATCACAAACTTGAGGTTTCCATGGTGGTTCCAAGTTTGGACAGCTCGTTGCAGGACAAGGATGCTGTTTCTGTAATACCTAGGAGTACCTAAAAAGGAGCGGCCATCTGGAATATCCGCATACTGAACATCGGCAATAACACCAAAAGAGAAGAGAGGTTGTCTGGCTGCAGAACCCATCATCAACCTACTGATATCTAAACATGAAAAGTTACACAAACACACACTTGTTAGTAATAATGAAACACATAATTTAGCTTTCGCAAATGTGAGAATTAAAGATTAGTGAAAACTTAGATTAGATGACTGCACAAGACAACAAGTTTTCTGATCTCGCAAAATTTGAATAGAGTTTTATTTCAAACAGTAGTTTATAATCACAGAACAAAGGGTGGTACACACTGCAATTACAGATATTTTCGGAATCATCCAAATCTCACGAGAAATATTCATTAATCCATTCATTGGAATAGACAAATCGTGGAGCCAATGGTCGATGTCGGCGTAAATCGTTAAAGTAGAGGGAAGTCGGTATGAGAAATTAACAACATTGTGGTAAACTAAGACTTACAACAGTGTAGCTTTACGATATCGACAAGCTACGACGAGAGGCGAATCGGAAATCGGAGAGGACAAGCGGAAGAGATTCTGTTTTTTTGGTTTTTTTTGCCAGCAGAAATCGGAAACTCAAGTGAAATTGGGGTTTTTTTTTTAGCAAATCATGTTGTTTTCTTCTCTCCGCTTAATATATATAAATTTCATTATTAGATTCCGACGATAAATACCCGGATCAATGCGTCAAGCCTTATAATTTTTAGTGATGATGGAGGATTTCCTTTGGGTCACGCATGAGGTAAGTTTAAAAACTCGACAAATTTGAGAGGTTGAGTTTATTTTCATTTTTTAACCAAAAAACAAAAGTTCGTTTATATATATAATAATATAATTTTCGTGGCCTTTGGCCTTTTGAAGTTTTTTCGCAGTTTCAAACTCATTTACCTTTCTTCATTACTATATGAACATCCAATGTGAAAACGTTTCTTCCGTTAAATGTGAAAACGTTTCTTCCATTTTAGCTGCCTGCATCGTATTATAATATTCATGAAATCTTCCATTCACTCTTGACTCTTTCTTTCTTTCACATTTGATATCATATAATATAATTAAGAAAGGTAAAAGAGTTGGGAAATTGCCAAGAAAAACTTCACAAGATTTCTTCCATTTGTCCATTTCTTTAATTGATAGCTCTTTTTTCTGAGTCATAGATTAATTAGTTTGAATATGGACGTACGACAAAGCAAGAAAAGAGAGAAAAGAGTAGAAACAAATAGTCAAATACTCGCATTTCACGTCAAAAAAGAGTGATTGAAAGCATTTTGTTATATTAATATCAGAGAGTCACGTAACAAATCTTTTGGTAGTTCACTAGTTACTACAAACATGCATATCACACTAATTACAACGTCAAATTGAAGGGACACGTCATCTTCTCCTTGTGAAAAAAGGATGTCTGAGCGCTTCACGAGCGGTTAGTCTCTCCGCCGGATCGAACCGAAGAAGCCCTTGCACCATGTTTATCAACTCCCCTGCCGAGTGGTCCACATGTTGCATTATTAGATTCTGTCACACACACACACACAAATGAACATTGTCAACACCAAAAACGAGCTAAACGCAACACTTACAATAGATCAAACTCAAAAATACCAAACACTTTGACGAACCTGAAGCCGAGGAAGCTTCAATACTGCTTTCAGACTGTCTCTTGATGTTGCCCCATCCGGCCAATCCAAACGACCTCTTCTCACATATTTCTCTGCGTGTCGGCTTTATCACCAAGACAAACTACAGTTAAACACCAGGGCCAAATATGCCTACGAATATGATCACTTATGTTTCATTCAACTCACTCCACTTTCTTCAGCATTTGTTGAGGAAACGGCCCAAGTACACGCTCCATCATCGCTAGATGCTCCAGGTTTTCATGTGTTTGGAACAATGCCTCTCCCTACAAATTTCAAATCATTCAATAAAAAAAAAAATGTTCCAAAACGTTCAATAACAATCGACTACTTCAGACACATACCGTGCATAGCTCCACTATGATACATCCAATGCTCCAAACATCACAAGGGTAACTCCAGCCAAGACCTGCACACAAGCCCCACCAGTTTGTTATATGATTATCAGAAGCTACAGATTTGAGTGACTTATTTTACAAGAGCTACTCACCTAAAATGACTTCTGGTGCCCTATAATGTCTTGTTGATACTATGTAGTTTTGATCCTGACGCTCATAAGTCGTGCTCCCAAAATCAATCACCTTTATTGCACTTGATTTAGGCACTCTTTTATAGCTAACATCCCTTTGTAATCGGGAGCCCTGCATCAAAAAAAATCACAGCCAACTTCCTTTAGCATTCAAACTACCTCGCCACACTAAGGTCACACAGAAATACATTCGAGATATACCTTATACTCGGGAATTTTCACATAATCTGAGGAGACTAACAGAATATTTTCTGGTTTAAGGTCCGTATGAATCATGCGCAAGTCATGCATAACTGCAAAATCAGGCAAATATAAGAAGTTGTGTTAAAAAAATGGAAAAAGCAGAATTTCGAAAACTTATGATGTAACCATCTCAACAACAAGCAAAAGTCATCTATGCAAGAGCATGTAAATTGAAAAGACTGCAAAGACTACACACATGCTACACATTCCAAGAGTTGCCAGCCAATCTCACGAACAAGATCAATGGGAAAGGAGCGATAATTGTTTTTCCGAAGAAAATCGTATAAACTTGATCCAAGCTTCTCAAATACCTGTTGCATCCATTTAAATTCATGCGGAAAATTTAACCCCAAATATTTCCCAAACTGGGGGAAATCATAGACTTCACAAAATTGACTAAATACTTACGATACATATATGGTTACGAAAGTCAAACCAGTTCCGAATTTGTACACAACTGCAAAGAATAAAATGATTTAACCTTTGCCAAAAAGAATCTTGGAAAACTATGTCTGACACCATCAGATTTGTGATGCATGAGGAAAAGTCAAGAGGCCATACTTACCGATTGCCACCTTTGTCATGTTTACCAAGCTGTTGCAGCATTTCAATCTCAATCATAGCTGCCTCACGATATTTCTTCACTCCACGAACAATTTTAACTGCAACCATTTCCTTCCTCTCCCTATCCCAACATTCTAACACTTGACCAAAGGTGCCTGCAAGGACCATTTAAGAAATATATAAGATATGGGTACTACACTGGATCCTGTGAGCACAAAATAACTAATACAACAAAACAATGATTCATACCTTCGCCCATTTTGCTATATATTTTATCTGCAATAAAAAAAAAAGAAGAAGAGCAGATAGCAATCAGAATAATGAACAATACACAAGGTCCAGTAATATTCAATTAATTTTTCAAGCACCAGATATAGTTGCTGGATACTATTTAAACGGCACCAAAATCAAAGTTTGTTCAAAACCATTGAAAGAGAAACCTAGAGATATTTGTAAGGTAACTTCAAGATCTTTAAAACAATTTTTTGTAATGGAAAAGTGGGATTACAGCGTGGAGTTATGTCATCTCCCAGTTCAAACATGTAATGTCCATCCTTGTCATCTTCTCGCCATGGAGGAGAATCGTTTCGAGCCACAGTCTTAACACAAAGAGAAGTGCTACTAATGTCTGAAGGAGCTCCGGACGATGCAAAGCTTGAAAAATTTCCAATCTCTTGCCCACAAAACATTCCTACCTGAGCCTACACATATTCATGTACCATAACAGACAGATGAATACCTGCCACTATCCTTCTAGGCCGACATGTTGAGTTATATACTAACTTAAAACCTTGATAGAAACATCTAAACCGAAAAAAATTAGGGCTTTTTCATGGACATCAATTATCATTGTTTGATAACAATCATCTTTTTCAAGGTTTCACTGAGAGAACGAGCACCAGTTTATCCTAAATTTCTATGATTCGCGAGAGAGAAGCAAATCTACCATGTAAAATCAATTACCAGCAAACAGCTACGCAAAAGTCTAAGACTTTCGAATCCAACACAAAATCTGGATTAAAATACACAACTAAAGATGCTCGTACTTTCTCAATTTTGCATCAGATGAGATGTTGTTCACGATCTACAAAAAAAATACTAAAAACAACACATAACAAAGAAGAAAAAGTTGAACCTAACACACTGAACATCTAAAATATTCATAGGATAGACCAACTTTGACTAGATCTGTGGAAAATAACCTAATTCGAACAGGAAAACCACCTAATCACATAATAATTGATATTTTTCAAAATAAATAATTGATGAACACTAAGAAAATCGCAGATCTAGAAGAAGTAATAAACAAAAAAATAGACCGATCCAAAAAAAAAAATTAAAAAAACGAGATTCATAGCAATCAAACAAACAAATAATATTCGGTAATCATGAAGAACAAGGTGAAAAAGATCTAGAGTTCTATACCTTAGGCGCCAGAGGCAACACGTCCCAACCAAGGCGCGCCCTCTTTCTGGGACGGCGATCCATGTTAGTATGAGGAAACTCATGCACGCGCTCCATCTCCATAATCTCAGAATCAATAGAATTGTACCAAAATAATTTTTTTCTCTAATCGGGGTGATTTTTCAGAAAGCCAAACGAGCGATGGCGAAAGCTTCTGGGTAACAGAATCGCACCCTAACCCTAGTTTTAAATCAGAGCAAATTGCAAATTGCAAAAGAGAAGCAGTCAGAAATAAATCATGACCGTCCACGTGTAAGCAGATCTTGTAACCAGGGTTAGTTAGAACTCGCGCGCTGGATTTAACCACAGTTGGGTTGGCGCAATAATTGATGGGGAATATGCTCCCCCCTTCCACTTTCCAAACGAAGAACGGCAACAAGTGCTTCATATCTCTCTTAAAACGACACACATTGTTATATGGGTCGAGAGATCTTTTTATTCTCGTTTCTTTTTTCTGAGTCGAATATTCCAAAACTCTCTCACTTTCTGTCTAAAATGTTAGCAGTAGGAGTTTTTTTTTGGTCAAAATTAGCAGTAGGAGTTTAAACCATAATTTTCTTAAGACTTTGAACTGGTTTAAAACACAGCAGATAAGAACAAAAGTGGACGGTCAATTGAGTTTTCAGAATTTAAAGATGTTCTTTTTCACTATTTCAAGTTCAACTACTCTACCTCCAAAACTACAATCTTCAACAAAATTTACATTTTTGTTTTGTGAAGAAAAGTATAACCACTCGGAGCTTGGTTACAGAGAGATCTTAATGGCCTCTTAACTCCTGGATATAATGACCAAGTTGCTGGGCACCAACGAACAAGGCATCAGCAGCCAGAACAACTCCAAGCTATAAATATATGACGACACAAGTCCACCAGTCAAGACTCAAGAGGAATATATAATGACAAAAGCTATAAGAGGGACTTTCATTCACAAAACTCACCAGACGAGCAGTATATACTAAGCGGTACCCCCAACCTTCTTTGGCAGCTTGAGCTCTTTGCTGGTCTGTCCAACTGCAACCAATAGTGATATATATGAGTATAATGCCAAATGCTGCGTATGATGAACAAGGAAACATACAACCCATTACCATATACTTGCAACAAAAAAAACACAATAATTCAAAGGCCTAGTTTTGAAAGGAAAACTGGCAAGGAAAGTGTTGTTAGGCCATTGACAAGTCACTTAGAATAAATAGGAGGGCCTGTCCATTGAAACCTTTATTTTTCAAGCAATGAGAAAGTCTGATTAGCAACAGAGAGAATTACCCGAGGAACTCTGAAAAACCCCC